TCTTCAAAGTGCGTCCAGACAACCTTTCGTACGAAAAGAGCATCAGGACAGGAGTTGTCCACGTACCGAGTACGTAGAAAGGATTTCAATGTTTGGATATTAATCTTCCCCAACACCTGCATACGCTAAGTCCCCTTTGTGTGCACATATGATGTGCGAGGTATGAAAACAACAAAAACCTCCAAATTGAGACATTGATGCTAATTACAAGCAAAGAAACATGTTGATATTATCAAAAAGTGAGGTATCTCATTTATACAATTTTTTTTTTCGTGATATCTTCTTTATACCCGTTTCCCATGCAAGGCCAGCGCTAATCCGACCAGCAGAAATGAAACCCGTAGAAAAAAGAAAAAAAAAAAAGTGACGTCTCATGAAAATGGAGAAGGAACATGACAGTCATAGAGCGCAAAAAAAAAATGACATATGCAGAAAACTTGGAATTTCCGGTCTCATTTCCGAAGGAGTAAAGGACACCGACTCAACCCCATCTATTTCTTTTTGGGGAACTTTTCAGAGCCGATGTCTGAACCACGCAGCTTAATGTTCAGCACGCGCTCCATGGCTCCGAGGACCTTTTGATCGGGGGTGGCGGTTCCACGCTCGAAATCCTGGACAATGGTGATAGTGGTGTTGCACTTGGTGGCGAGTTCCTTCTGTGTCATCTTGTAGCCCTCCTCCGTGCGGCGTCTCTTGATAGCATCAGCAACAGCGTGGCCCACTGTCTTGGGCTTGACGATGTCGTCGCTGCGGTCGACCTTGGTCAAGTGTTGGCCTTCGGGGGCACCTGCCTTGGCGCTCTGAAGAGTGTGTTAGAGAATCTTTAATAGTAGTTTTCTGGGTTTCAGAAGAGATTTCACATACAAGGTTACCGGTGGTGTACTTCTTCTCGGTGATAACGCCACCGGAGCGCTGCGCAGCGTTCAGGGCACTTTTGCCCTTGACAACAACCTCGCGGGGTTGAGCGCTTGCTCCGCGGAACTTGCTGCCGATCTTGGTGGTGCTATCCCAGTCAGACATTTTGAACGGAGTTTGTTTTTGGTGTGGGTGGTTGAGTAGGAATGATAGCCGAGCGTGAAAGGGGATGACGTTGGTCGTGTGAGGGTCAAGAGAGAAATGCAATTTATATCGATGACACAGAAGCTTCTCGAGGGAGGGAGCCTGCGCTAATCCGGCTTGGGACTAGCGTGCATCTGGCTCAAAAGGCGTCCCTGTCCTGTGGCTCGGCTCTCTTTTATATTGAAATCTTTCAAATCTTTGCCATTTTCTACCAGCTTCACTTGAGTGTTTGTTTTCTATAGAGCTTTGCTTTTTGTTTTCTAGGGCGCTTGCTGGGGGTCCGAGGGCTCGCTATATCCGTCGGTACTTCCCCCACCACCATTATCGCCACAGCCACTGCAATTATATAAAGATCGTTTCGCACATTCAAGCCATTGTGGCAACTGTGAGACTTAAGACAAGCAAGAAATAGACTTTCAATTATACTATCTCCCTGGCCACTTGCATCTACAGATCAGACACATATAGTCCGCTTCAAACCATCGGCAAGACGATGATTTAACTCGACCCACAACTTGATGTCATAGAGCCTTGTGTGTAAATTCCCAGCCCTAGTCACTGATATCATAGAAGAAGGGCAACGAAACATGCCTTCATGAACCAATCGCTATTCGCAAATGGCATTCCAGGAGCAGCATTGTGCCCAAAGCAAGCACAAGAGTCACATTGAGTCTTCAATCATGGGTCCCCACGATGAGGCTGAGTGCACGATCGGGCACCAGGATAGGCTTAGCCTCGTTGCTCATTACACCACATTGCTAGCCCTAGAGACAAGTTGGGCCTATGGACTCTTTCACTTTTCTTCCACTCAATCTCAATGCGAAGTATGTTAGATTTCGATTTCCGTTTCTCGTCAGTTAAATACTTTATTTCCACATCTGGATAGTCTGGTTGGATTTTGCATGTCTATATAGAATCCCTGATTCAAAACAGGAAGTCTCTTGCACAGAGTGTGCCTGATTGATCGCCTGTTTAATCGCCTTCATATGCATAAAATTGACGTGTGAACTGTGCAGCCAAAACGTTCTTGTGATATCTATGTAGCAACATGAAGCTGTGTAAGTTGTACAGTTCAATCTACATACCATCCCCTACGTAGGTTAAGGAGACAACAAGTCCACAGTAAAGTAGCGGTGTTCTCAAATCTTCTTTTGAAGCAAACAATTTCCTTCTATGAGCGAGTTCTCGATCATGGAACTGCTAGGGTCTATGCTTATATTGCCGTTCAGTTTGCAACTTGAACTCCAATTCCATCGCTGCCTACATGCAAGGGGCGTTTTCCGCCACTCAATCACGGCTTAGACAATCATATCGGCGAAAGATGATCGTGCCTATGACCAAACAGCAGACTGGGCCAGGGATTGAAGAGCCGATCAAAATCCGATGCGACTACCGTGGTTGGCAGTCAGACAAGTGATATCAAATACCAACTCATCCTCTCTGTTCTCTTTCGTTTTCGCTTTCGCCGTATGTCGGAACCATGGAGTAAACTCTTAGCGGAATCTCCACTGCTTCTCTTGTGTGTCACTTCCATTTAGCGACCTGGTACCCTATCTAGGCGGTCTTTGTAGCTGGATGAGTCAAACCTTATAGAGATTCAGATGTGATCCATAACACCAGGAAAGGCACTTGACCGAGATAAGTATACGTTTGTAACCCTAAGTCCGGATCGTATCGCAATGAAGAGCTGATTAGCATTTGAACACTGGGGACCCTGAGATCAATGGCCACAAGCCCGCCAATAAGCGATGCCGATTGAGCCCAGTCAGGGCCATTCGAAACAAAAATTCAACCCACCAACGCCGCATCAGTAAGAGTAAATACAAAAGCCAAATGCCTGGCAGAACAGCCCGGCCGTACAATTAGAAAATGCTGTTCACGATGTTGGAGCCAACCGTAGCACCGGCACCGAAGATTGCTATAGTCAAGTTAGAAACCAAATGACGAGTGACCAGATTAAGTACGACTCACCGGCATTGCCTAGTTTCTTGCCAAACTTCTTGCCTCCTTCCTCAAGCTTGCTCTTCTTTGGCTCCTCGGGGTTTTGAGGCTGTCCACTCTGGCTGACTGCAAGAGGCATGTTTCCATAGTTTGTAGGCGGGGCCGAAGAAACACCCGCATTTTCTCTCACAATGTTTACATAGCTTCGAGGGAAGATACCCTCCTGGCCAGTCCGCTCGTTGCGACCACGCCACCCTATTGATCGTTAGCTCTAGAACCACACCATTTAAAAGGGGAACATCATACAATCGTCATTCATGTGCTCAGTGACCTGGATGCGATCTTGCGGCTGCAAGGCCAGGTCACCGGCATCGGTAGGTGTATATGCATACATGGCCGAGGCGAGGCCGAGAACTGGCGGGACTTGGGGGTAAGCTGGCGGGGCCTGCGGGGGCTGGCTTGCATAGTGATTCTGCGAATAGGCTTTCTCGTTGATAGACGCATTGGACATTTGTGAGACCGGAGCCGAGTATGAGGGCGTGTAGGGGGCTGGAGGAGGCTGTGCTTGCACAGGAACATGTTGAGCTGGCGCAGGCTGTGCCTGCTGTCGGGGCGGCGGTGATGATACTTGCACCGCCCGAGAGGGCTCGGAATCGGTGGGTAGCTGGGATAGAATGGAGGAGAGCTGGCGGGGGGTGATCACAGATGCATCGGCGAGGAATTCCAGTTCCTGGATGATGTTAAATTAGTACCTGGATTGTATTTCCGGAACAGGAAGCCGGGACGCCATACCGTCCGGACCATGCGAAGCGACCGGGTGGTCATGGCAGACGCGAACTCGCTGGGGGCTGCCATTGTTAAAGAACACGGGTGGTAATGATTGAAGGAGACGAATTCAAAATGACAAGAGAGTGAGAAAGTTAAGAGTTGGGAGAGTCGGGAGACACAGGGGGTTGCAAAGGTCGGATGTTGTCAAGCACCCAAATCAGGCCAAGGTCTTGGAATCTCCGCTCCCATAAATATTTTCATCAAGTGCTAACAATTATCAACTCCCTATCTGTTTCCGGGACTCTGTATTATTCATTTGCTTCTCATATCCAATTATTTTATTTCCCATCTGCTTTTTATGAGCCGATCTAAAAATTAATACATAAACGGGTCAAAAGTGGACTCGATTTGGATCTTAACACCGAGTTCAACATGAAACCCTTTGAATTCATAAACCCTCCACCATTCTCTAACAGTCAGAGAATACCATCGTGCCAAGTTATTCCGTTGACCATGTGGTTGTCGGAGCCGTGTAGGTTTCAGACATGTTCTATACCCCTGGCTCTAGTGCAGGGGAAAGCGCACATTTTTTAGTTCTACATATATCGGTCTCTTTTTTTCCCCCCGGGTTCGATTAGAGTCCTGCATCCCACAGCCCCAATATAAAAGCGAAAGTGCCAAAAAGCGCACGATACTGTCCAGACGACAGGCTATTCTACGCCACTCAAAATCCTCCTTCCCCTCCCCGCATAATTGCCATCCAATACAAATTTACATCTCCTAGGCCATTGATGTATCAAGGATGAGTTACGCGCCGGTCGAAGAAACGCCCCCATCTAGACCCGCAGTCTGTGATATGGACGGAGTATAGCGCCATGTGGGCCGCAGCTAATGCAGTGACAACGGGGACACTCGCCAGCGCTTACAACCCGCACTAGGGACTCTCAGACCCCGACAAGATAAAACCATGATGTTAGTGGTCTTGGTCTTGCTAGTTGGTGTGATGGTACTGCCAGGGGGGGGGGGGGGAGCGCCTCGCGAGCATGGGGACTCTGTGCTTCGCTCTGAATCGAGTGGAGATCGGCAACCGACCCCCATGGCGGATGGAGAGTGGAGGCGAGTCCTTTTAAGAAAGCGCGTTCTGGCTGTTGTTGGATGGTGTTCTTGCATTTCTGTTGTATGGTCTCTGTTTCATTATGGATTAACATGTTAATGATGTGATGTTGTCTATAATGCTTTCGAAATTGATTTTCATCTCTTTATTTCCTCTTGTCAAGGCTGACGATTGGGAAGAGTTCACGAAGAACCTTGCGACAGACTTGGTGTGTTTGCATTCTAATGTTGTCTAGATCTTGCTCCAGGTGGACGCGCTAATGTTTCGATCAAAGGCTCCTTTAATCACCTTGTTCGGCGAGCGACTTACCAAACAATTTCTCTCCGAGTCCATCAGTACCCTCGATAATGTCATATTCGCCCTCTTACCGCTAGGAGTATTGACTGCTGTCGTGTCAGTGATCAGAATCTGCGGAAGTCCCTCCCTCAGGGCATTTATCGAACGAGCACAAGAAGGTCCTGCCGAAGCCGAGATCGACCTCCTTCCTTGCGTCTCGGAATCCACCGCGGAGCTGTTCAACGATGGCGGCATCACACGAGTCTTTGGTCTGCCTAAGATCGTGGAGATAGTTGCTTGGGAGGAAGTGGATCATAAGGCTAGAGAGAAGGAAACAAAGATTGGCACTTTGAAAGACGCCCTTGAAAAGAAGGCTTGGTCTTGCACTAGCAAACTTTCACCTAGTGAACTGCCTGAACTGGACATTCCTAACCTGTCATTGAATAAGGGAATCAAGCGGAGAGATCAATTGTGGTTTCGTTGTGCTGCAAGACTTGGTGGTATACTGCAGAGTGGTCGGTACTTCTCCGTCTTTGAGCCCGAGAGGATACTGACGACTCTACCAAGGCACTGCAATGTACGCTACACTCACAGTGTTTGTATATCTCCAGCATTTTCAGGTAAACGGCAATGATGTTGACTCATACGCATTCCCATTCTATCTCATTGGGACAACCCTTCTGTTTATTGGAATGCTCTTCTGCGCATTCATCATGGAACGTTCCTCAAAGGAGTTCTATCTCAAAGCAGAAAAGCCAAGCAAGATATACTGGCTACAGCCTGGTGATCAAGACGTGGGTGACCAGGTCTTGAATGCTTTCTTGGCCGTAAATGAAGGGCCGGACTCGTCAATGACCACGAAACTTAGTTATGTTAAATCGATAAGAGATCGATTTAACATGGAGCGAATATCAATGCTCAAAACAATAGCGGAAAGACTGTACTTATGCAGGCAGCATCTAGTGAATTTTCATTTTCCGTGCTTCGTTTACTATTAGATTAAGGGGCCGATGCTCATCTCAAAGACGAAAGGGGGCTTACGGCACTGGATATGGCAAAAGAAATGAAGTTCTATGAGGCCATAGCCATACTAGAGCCATAATTGTTTTTAGCTGAATGGTCACACGCCAGGATCTCCTTGATAGAGAGATTCTTGTATTCTTCCTAGCTAATCATCAGTCAGGATTTGTTCTTTCCACTCCTTCGAGATCCGAAGTGATGCGACCAAGGATATCTGTTCTACAGGGGGTTTCTTTGGAGTCGCATAATGAGAAGCCATTGAAAGATCACACCACTTGTGAATTCATTTTTGAACGGACTCTTCAACGGGAACATGGAGAACCCGACCCCGCAGTCATCGGACTCACAAAGTTTCTTTCTTCTTGGCCTCTATGATGTGTATTAAATAGGGACCAATGAAGATAGCTAGTTGAGTCGGGTGGTCAGTGGAACTGACCTATCAAGTTGCGTAGGGGGGCTACTAAGCGCTCAGCGAGGATGAGCATGCAGTAGTCGGGTGTGACTGGGAGTACATAATAAAATCGACCTTATGCCTGTAGGTCCTTCCTGTCACACGGGTCATCACTTCCTATCCCAGCCTTGCGGCTTCTTGTGCGGAGTTGAAGTTGTGCCCTTATAAAGAATGGCCCGCCACAAGATTTTGTTCCTCCCAGCTGCTTTTCTAACCCTGATTTCCCTCCCTCTTGATGCTTCTCAAAATTATATCTGCCTCGGAACGAATTTTATTGAAAATTTGATCGGATTTATTTAACGAAAACTTTTTATCATCTTTCATGTCTCCTACCCCGCAACCCGAGAAGCCCATAAGTGTTCTGTGTGACAGCTGGAATCCCACTCTAATCATTGAGCAGCTCAGTTCAATTGATCTCCATTCAAGGTCACTGGGTTGAAATTGGTTGTGAACATGTTACAACAACAAGATTATCCTTCTCCTCCTATGTCTGGTAAGATCCCAAATCTGGGGAACCACGCACATGCTGACTGACTTGAATGTGTAGCTCCTCCAACTCAAACATGTAATGAATATCCCTTCAGCCACAAGAAATGTCATACTGATGCCCCGAGTAGCATTCACACGCAATCAACCTTACTTCGCTCAACCTCCCAGGGAGACACCTATAAATGGGGACTATCCAGTCAGCCCACCACCACACAAACAGGGTTATTCCTATTCCAATGGGGAATATCCATCTCCCCCGTCAGCCAGTACACCACCCCTTGATCAGATGGTCGAGCGAAATCAGGTAGCATTCGATCAAAAGCAGTATCCGGGCCGGCTCTTAGTTTCATCTCAAGCCACATCTCCAGTAACGATGGAAAAGATCCCCGGAGGTGCACCGGCGTATGGAAAGTTTGTCGGCGTACAATCGAACAATCAGGATGATGTTGGAACATTCAATGGAGGCAGCTACCGAATCAGCCACCGAGATACAAACTCAGTTTTGACAGTTCAATTGGCAATGGGGTGTCCATTGACGGCTAGGCCAGGTAAGAGAAGAGTTCGATAAAACCCATTGTCCAATGTTCTGCTCTCATGGGTTCATTGGCGTCCAAGTAAACTCACCTTGCAACAGGTGCAATGATTTCAATGTCACCAACAATAACCCTACGAGGAAGGATCACATTCACGTTAAAGAAATTTCTTATCGGTGGTAGCATGACGGCATCGCACTACACCGGCCCGGGTGAGCTACTCCTTGCGCCCCCCATCCTGGGAGACATCATCGTCCATGAGATCAATCCGGGAGACAAATGGAATGTGGGACGGGATTCCTTCCTAGCCCACACTTCTGGTGTTTGCCATGAGTACAAGCGTCAGGATCTAAGCAAGGGGTTCTTCTCTGGAGAAGGGTTCTTCGTTTACAAGTTCACGGGCCAGGGGTTGTTCTGGATGCAAAGCTTTGGAGCAATCATCAAGAAAGACGTAATTTCACCTCATCCTGCCGTTCTGTCATTCCTGTACTGATATATACCTTATCAAACAGCTGGTGGAAGGGGAGGCTTACTTCATTGACAATGGCCACCTTGTTGCATGGAACTGCAAATACGATATTGAGCGGGTTGCCTCTGGCGGTCTGCTTTCTAGTTTCAGTTCTGGCGAAGGACTGGCTTGCAAATTCAAAGGCCCGGGAACTGTATATCTGCAAACCAGAAACCTCAACGCCTTTGCTGCCCAGATGAAGATCAGCACCGCTAGTGGGTGATAGCACCCTGGTTTGGGCACCCTGGCCCAGTAGGCCAGATCCAGCGATGTGCAGTTGGAATTTCAGTGCTTGGTTTTATTTCCGTGATATTCAATTTGCTTCCCATTCCGACTCGGATATCGTTTTGTTGTGTGATTACTCTGTACCTTGGGCGAAGGTCGGCCCAGTCGCGAGCAGGTCTCCATTCTATACCAATCTGTCATGTTACAGGCGGTTGATCTGATATCAGCATGTTTGATGTGGAACGATTCTACTTATGTCGCAGCGTTACCGTCGAATTTTCAATCAAGTCGGAGTTTTCAACTTGCGAGCCTGCGCTATGGTCATTGCAAGAGAAAGTCCTAAAGAAGTACTTGATGCCCCCTGAAGATTTTTGTGTCTGCTCAAAAACTTTGATGGACAGATTTCACACCTATCTGAGCAGAAGACTTTTACAAATAGTTGGATAATGCGGCACCCATTATCTGCCGAAGAGCAGATCAGAACCATAGCGGCAGTCCCTCGGAGGGTTGAAGCAAATGTAACATAACCACAAAGGAGTGGGTGACTTTACCACCATCCTAAACATCCAACTAGATGCAAAGCATACAGCCTCGAAGGTAAAATTTAGTGACATCAGTCCATTTCACGCGAAACTTTTTTTTCTTCTTCAAATCGTTTCCTCATCTCAAGCCCCTCAGAGTAGGAAGAAAAAAAGCAACAGTGCCTTGTTTCCACCTGGCAAAGGCTCTAGCAAATGACACACCATAAGAAAGAGATAAGAACAAGCCCTTCCTTCGCAAATTTCCAGCAAAGCGCCATCCGCTTAGCCCACACGCTTTCTGCGACCGATCTGGGAACGGAAACCGGTCTTGATGGCGGCGACGGAACGACGGGATCCACAGGAGTTGCAAGTAACGAAATACAGACGGTTCTCTCCCTTGTTGAGCTCGGTGTCGGGGCTGCGGCAAGTCTTGCATGTGACGTACTCGACAATATAGCGACGCAGAACCGATTCGATACCCTTCTGTTGGAATCGTCCCTTGATGACCAGGCGACGGCTACCGTCGACACTGCCTGATGTACCGAGTTCAGCGAACAGGAATTGGGTGCAGTGTTCCTCGCTAATGAGAGAGAAAGAAAGTTAGACGGGATACTACAATGAATAGATGGGGGAGGGGGGGGGGGGAAGGCATAGCGAACCTTCGCTTCATGCGCTTGCAGATATCGGCAATGTTGGCGAAAATGGTGCGACGGTTACCTTCACGCAGGCACTGGGGCGGGGGAATCTTGTAGGACTTGGCGCCGCTGGACAGAAGGTCGGGGTGGTGGCTCTCGATGAGGGAGAAGAAGCGGGAGACGAGGAGCGAGTAGGGGATGGCTTGTGTGGCGTCGTGTGCCCAGATACCGGTGCCGGCCTCGAGGTCTCCCTCGGGCAGCTCCTCGGGCTGATCCTCGCCAGCCTCCTCAGCAATACCAGCCTCAGCAAGCTTGGCATCGAAGTCATTGGGGTCGACCTTCTTAGACTTGCTGCTCTTCTTTTTCTTCTTCAGCGCGGAGGGATCGAATTCGCCATCGGCGGCGGCGGGGGCTTCCTCGTCATCGCCAGCCTCGGTGGTCTTAGACTTCTTGGATGACTTCTTCTTTTTTGAGAGACCCTTGAACATCTCAGTGACCTCGTCGACATCCTTCTCTGTAGATTCAAGAATTTGTCAGTGAGGCTGAGGCAAAGGCACCCGAGAGATTGATGCTGGAATCGGAGAGCTTTGGCATACCGCCTGTGGGCTTCTCAGCCGGGGGGGCGTCTGTAACTTGGCCGTTGGTATCCATGATGACCGATCCTTCGCTGAATGCGACCGATTTGCGCTGTTTGGTCTCGATTTCCTGAGCGGAGCGGCAAAAAGCGGTGTTAGTTCTGAGAAAAAGAAAAAGGGGCAGAAAAAATCGTGTAGCCTGGCTTTTTAATGAAAAAGTACCAGTCCTTGATCCCGGGCTCAACAATGCGTGTTCTTGATCACTGTGGTTGGCGGCCGAGGGGTCGATATTGTGTTCAAAGAAAATGTGGGAGGGTCGGTAAAAAGACAAGGGTGTGACGTACAGCGTCCGCCATGTTTTGAGGCTTCAAAGATGCTATTTACTCCACCACAGTCTGTTGGAGGGGAGGCTAGGTTGTTGCGAATTCGAAGACCTAGAGTAAGAGTGTAAGATGGCAAATTTTTATCGCTGGAATCTGATATCGCCAGGCCTGAAGGGGATTCTGTAGTCGCGGTACTGGCACGTGACCCTCAACTGAGTCACCAGATTACGAAGTCACGTGTTGATGATTACGGTACTCGGCGGTGCTGGTCGAACCAGGCAAACAGTCCACTGGTTGCTCTTACATTCACGTATAACCGCAGTAGGCAGGCCGCTGCTTGATCAATATCACTTCCCCCTCCTTTGCTCACCCGCATCACTCTTTACAACAATCTTTATCATGTCTTTCCCTTCTCAAGACAGCTCGAATCCCTCCTTCTCGATGTCCGCGTACATGGTACCCTCCCGGCAGAACTCATACTCCGAGTCCGACGATGAGCTCGCCTCCCTCCCTTCAGAATCTACAACCGAGTCCGACCTCGATACCTTGTCCGAATATTCCTCTGATGCCGAGGCAGAGTGGCAGGAGAGCATTGAACAGCTGGAGTTGCTTCTGAGTATGGTCCTGGTACCCTTCATTGGGAAATACCTGGGGCGACGATGCGCATATTGGAGTATGTGATGCATACAAGCTTCATAAACTTGCCTTCTGAAAGTCTAAGTTGCTAATTGGCTGGCCGTTTAGGTTGGACACGATTCATGCAGTGGCAGTACCCGGTTGAGGTGGTGATGCGGAATCCTGCCGCATTCAAGGCAACGGGTGTGATCCAGGCGGCTGCGACACTCTAATAGACTACAGTCCGAATCACCCTGTAAGCATTTTTTTGCATGCCTTTTTAATCAAGCATGCCATCGACCCCCACATTTCAGCGCTCGAATCCCTACACAAGACCGACCTGCCTTATTTTCGTGGACTCCGCAACATATTCACGGTCCAAAAGCTACTAGAATGCCTTGTCAAATTCAAACTCATAATAACTCTTGCGCTGGTTGTATCTGGCGTCGCATGGGGACCTGGAACCAAATCCAGTGTCGTCTTCCCTTGCCTTCGATCTCCCGTGGTTCGCAACTGTTCTTCATCCAACGGCGGCACATGTGGATAAGTCCACTCCATAATTAGCTTGAATAGAGACACGCATTTGGATTTGAGCCATCCGATGATGTGTTTCTTTTCCCTGGCCAAGAATGTTATATACCCAATGAATACATCAACCCTCATCAACAGTGATAAGCCAGCGCAACAGTGTACCCCCTAGACGATTATTGACTTGCAAGCTGTCTAGAATGTTGAGGGCCCCGAGTTGAATTGTGTGGGATCAACCTTGGGCTGTCGCCTGATCATACAAATTCGAAAAAGAGGTTGCCTACATGCATACTATGTCGGATTTCAAGGTCCCCACAATCTTTATTGACAGCTGAACCCAAGCTAGCTAGGGATGTACCTGAAGCTGGCAATACTTTGCTCTCATATGGTTGATGATTGATGTAAATATGATCAAGCTTGCCAGTCACACTTTCGACTGTCCAATTTAAAAATCAAGATCAATAGAGTTTGTTCTGTCGCCAGAAGTCAGCTAATTCCGGAGGTTGACTCTGTCGCACATCGATTCCAGTTGACGCACGCGGTTGGAACCGACCGAATCCAGTAGTGAGCCAGGGCAAATCATCATTTTCGTCAACACAACAATCCTTCCAATGATTCGTGGATATTTCGTGTTTTAAAAAAGACTCAGGTGGCTTTTCATCATGCCGGTCTTGGCTGATGTCTTGAGAGACCGTTGCTAAATGCTCGGGCTCTCCCGCATCTTCCTGTCGAGTAAGAATGCCAGACGCTGGACAATGCGAAAGCTCATTGAATTTTAGTTCGGGAGATTCAAGTAACTGCTGTAAGTCCGATGCAACTTCTGCCGCAACTTCAGGGTGCACGATGGCACCGTAAGCAGCATCCAACGTGCGATAGAATACATCATCATCATCGAATCGATCCAGCTCAAAAAATTCGATGTCCGAAACATGCGGCTGTTTGACTTCTGGCACGGATGCGGGAAAAAGGATTGCATTCTCTGGCGATTCCTGAGGGGAAGGCTCACACTGATCTCCATTCAAAGTGTCCTTGAAACGATATGGGCTGTTTGACACTCTGGCAGCCTGGAGATTTAGACAGCTCGGTTTGTCTGAAGCATGATGTGCTCCGTCTTGCTGTTGCTCGAGAATTGAAGGTTGTTGGAGTCGATCAATATTCACACTGTGAGCCGTTTCACAGGCGACATTGGAATCTGGGGATTGTTTGGGCATTTCATTCTGTGTAACACTGACATTGACAATTTCTAAATGGTCTGGTATGAAAGTCTCAGGAATTTCATGTGGAGTGGCTTCGGGAGAAGCTCCCTTTTTGTTGTCGGCTTCGTTTGACCATGCTGTCTTTCTCTCCTCCAACAGTTCCCATAATTCAGCGAGACTCCAATATCGTCTGGCCCCGACAGTATTTGTGATCTCAGAACATAGCGCTGGGGGGTATACTCCGACGCGCAACAGGTTCAGCAGGTGTTGTTCAAGGGCATCACTTTGCTCCGTGTTGCCGTCCTCAGTTGCCATCCAAGTGTATGGAATAGATGGTGATTGTTTTGAGATCTTCCTTCTCTTATTGTGCGGCATGGGGGAAGCCCTTCGAGAGCGGCTGGGAACTGGGGAAATCTCGCTGACGCAGGCCTTTTCAAATGTGGCCAACGGCGTGACTGAAACGTCAAGCAATTTGTTCTTTGGGTGAGAGATGTCAAGCTTGCAGCCATTGGCAGGATCATCAAACTGGAGTTTTTTAAGATGGCACTCTCTCTCATTCTGTCCATCCAGAGTCTCTCTGGCGGTCGAAATAGGATACGGGCTAAGGTTCTTTCTCCAAGACAGAAAGTTCATCTCAGAAAAAGCAAGATCAGATCCTGTGACAAGATTTTGAGATTTGATGGTTGCTGCAGGTTTTGCAAGACCGGTCGACGGGGTATTTCCGTGGCGATTCGTTACAAGAGAAGATCGTCCCTTGCTGAAGATACCCAGGTTCGTGTTGCTGCGCAGCTATCTGGAATCAGTGACGTGCAACGAGAATTTGTAGAAGCCTACTCACCGTCAATCTGTTTCCTGTGACATTGATTGCATGGAAGTCATCATTCATGGTGTGCCTTCTGCCCCGGGATTTCTTGCCTCTTCCTTTGTAAGACTGTGATTGGGTATCCGCAGCCGATGATGGGCCCTTGTACTCGTACCGATCCTCGCGAGTCTTGTATCTAGGCCTAAGCTCGTAACTATGTCGAGATCTCTTTTGACTTTCATTTCCTGGCATGATTGCGTGAGCGGAGGGTGCTTTGGTTTCGTTGAGGTGACCTGAATCTCTTTTCCTGCTAGCTGAAAGGCCATTCCCGCCCACGCTGTCAGGCATCTCAAGTGGGATGCTGATTCGTGTTATGCCCGTTGCTAAATCTGTGTGCTTCACTTGTTCCTGGTTCTGAACTAATGCTCTGGCAGCGCAGAAGTTTTGTAGTTCTTGTGACAACATCATATCTCCATCTTGATGGCGCCTTTGTTCCTGGTCTTCCACAGAGGAAAGCCACTGATAAATTGGATCTTTGCTCTCCATAAAGGAAATTCCCCTCTAAGACTGGGTCGTAGCTGCAGAAAAGAAGTAGAGGAAGGGCCACTGAGCAGAGCAAGGTGATCTGAAAGCATCCAAAGCCATTCACCGCCGAAGAAAGAGCGACCATCTCAACTTCGTCCTTATCCTATCTTTTCAGTGTTTCTTCGTTATTTTCTTAAAAAAAAAAAATCCCCAGCATTTGCTCATTTGATGTTCTCTCTTCAACCCTATGTGGGAATTTGCTCTACTCAGAGGCTTTGGTGCTATTCTCCCATACCTGCTTTTCCATCAACTAGAGAAGGTTGTTGACATTTTATAGACGTTATCTTTGTGCTAGTTGTCGCCATTTCCCGCTCCCGGCATCTGGAGCACGGAGCACGGAGCACGGAGCACGGAGCACGCGGCCCACGGCCCAAGCCGCATGTGGGTCTAGGGGGCACTGCCCATCTACTCGGAGGCACACAGGCGCAAAATCACTTTTGGAGACTGACAGTGGCCAGGCCCGAGAGGCTAGGCCCATGGCGGTAATTGGATGCAGATCTCAGTCTGCATTGCCATTGCCAGCCTATCCTCTTCTTATGGTTGGCAATTCCCGACCGAATGAGGAGAAAAATCTACAATGCATAACCAGGCATTTAACCAATCATGCATAGACCTGTGAGGTACGCAGATACTACCGAGATTCCACAGTCCACGCGTGGAGAGTCCACCCAAAATAGTGATGCGTTCACGAATTGAATTTTATCCGGACTTTGGTGGACAAGAAGTACGGCTTTGCCTTAGTACTACTCTGTAAACGGATTCGCAACAGAGTCTTGAAATCCAGGTGCTAATCCAACCCTATGAAATCCAAGGTAGAAACTTTCACATTTCAGCCAAGTGAGGGGGAAGCAAAGGTACATCAGCCGTTGCCCTTGGTTGCCACCAATCCAAACGGAGTCTCGGGTACCATTTGCTTGATTGCTGAGAGTCTGACGACCCGTAATTGAATCAGCTCACGGTTCAGGGCTGTGAGCCTGGCTCTGGCATGTTGATCTCTGCGGTCTCCCCTCTCCCCCACCTTGGAGAACTCTTGAGGCTAAACTCGGAATTAACTCGCTCTCGTAAAACTCGTAGACAAAGAAACAGTAAGCGTCAATGGATATCGGTCATTGTGGACTTTCCATTGGCGTCCGACCAGTGGAAAAATTCCCGGCTGTGTAGAAGCCCTAACGCGGTTTGAGTGTTACACGGGACTGGATGCTTACTCGCCTCTTAATCGCTAGGATCTCCCTGTCATCTCGCAGTTCGGACGGATTCCGATTTTAATCCTTCTTTTCTTTTCGATCATCTCCTTTCTTTCAACTTTCATCTGCTCGTCCTTGGATCAAGCCAGCTCAAGAGTTGTCTTTTCTTCGAGCTTCCCTCTGTTAGGCCTTTATCACGATGTCTAAGCTCTTTGTTCAGTGTGTAATCTCTATCCGAGAACAGATTTGTGCTGGTAGGAACCAGGCTAATCATTGCTGCGGTGGAGTGTAGCGGTCTTTCTTGGCATACTAGCGATGACACCTTGCGCGAGGGTTTCCAGCAATTTGGCGAGATCCAAGAAGCTGTCAGTATCTCTTGACCAAACGAATCTCCACGTTTTCTGAGCTTCTCCTGACTTGACTGGTTACAGATTGTCGTGAAGGATCGTGCGACTTTGCGCAGCCGGGGCTTCGGCTTTGTCCGCTTTGCTACTGACGCCGAGGCAGACTCTGCTTTGGGCGCCATGAATAACCAAGAGTAATCATCCAACCTCACACGCATCCTGAGTTTAAGGAAAATCTCATACGTTTGTTCAGATTTGACGGACGGGTCATTCGCGTTGACAAGGCGTTTGACCGCCCCCAACGCCCCGAAGGTGGCTTCCACGGCCGTGGTGGATACAACTCTCAGCCCCATTCTAGCTATCAGGGTGGTGCTGGTGGTGCTGGTGGTGGCTATGCTGCCTACAACAATGGCGGGTACAACAACGGCGCTGCCGCTGGTGGATATGGCGGCTACAATCGTAGTTACAGCAACCACTACACTCCCAGCGGTCCCGCTGGTTACGGCGCAGGTGGCCCCGGCGGTTATGGTGAGTTCGTTTGATTTAATCATAGTTGGTTAGCTTGCTCATCAATTATTGAGGTGGTGGCCCAAACACCGGGTACGGCGGTGGCGGAGGTAAGTTTTCGCATTAAATTGATCGCGACATTAACCAACATCGAAAGGCTGGCGCGGGCACAACCACGAGCAGGCTCCCCAAGACGGTCACTAGCAGATGATTGAGTTTTTCTTCAGTTCCTCCGAATGCGCCTTTCTTCTTCAGCAATAAAAGAAGTGACGATGTACGACGACTGGAAAGTGGTGGAAGATGAATTTGGGGAACAGCGGGGTGCTACCCTAGTTATGGAATTTGGTCACAGGGGGGGGGGGGGGGGGGGGGTTGTTAGTTTTCTTCGCGCTCGACTTGCTACGAAACAAACTTGGGCTTCTGGTTCAAGGTTGGGATTTATTGGACATGGATTCTGAGGCTTCACACGGTTGCGTTTTCACCCTATCTCGCCTACAAACCTCTGAGGTCCTTTTTCTCTCTTGTGCAGAGTGGCCCATGTGGTCTTATATCTGCGATTTCTGCTTTATGATTCGATGGAGATTAAAGCATAGTGAATCTATCTCCGGGGCCAACATGGGCTAAGAGTGACGACCCGAACTATGTACCACGACCACGATATTTTTCTTAACGGAGAAAACCAGGCATCGCCCTCCATTTCTACCTAATGTTCTCTTGTTTCGGGCGATCAGTTATTACGCGATACACATCTCCTGTTGGGCATCCATGCCTTGTAGAAACAGTCATTCCCGCCCAAGCTTAAAACAAAAATTATCTACAACTAGCAAGAGATGCCTGAAAGTGCTCTATAACAAGACTAGACAAAATCAGAGTTATCTCTAGATCGATGCACTCCACAGTGTGAGAACGGCGTATTTCCTACTGCCAAAAGCATACATAACTAGCAGGAGTGTTGACAGTTTGTGTAGTCTTGTTGCAGTGGTCTGATTCGACGTTTATACAAGAGATTAATAACAGTTTTTCCCGCCATCTTTCGACGAAGAGCGAACAGATGTACTGTATTTTCAATCACTTCTTTCCGGATCTTTACATTCTACTAGGTGACTATGCAATCAACGGATACTCCGTACCAAAAAATCTTCAGTCATTAATAGAGCCTTCACCCATACACTTCATTCAATCGTCCCACGGCCGTTCTCACGATCAAACTCTTCAGCCAAGCCCTCCAAAGACCTAATAACCTTAAGTCCTGCCTCCTCCTCTTCAGCCTCCGCAAGCCCCTCGGCCTCAATAGCCTTAACCCTCTTAACCAAATCTGTAACGTGAACATCCGCAGTCCCAAGTCCAAGACCCTCTAGAGCCTTCTCCAGCAAGAACAAATACTCAGAACCCTTCCCACTCAGCCCATGCCCAGCACTGATAACCTGTGCCACATTCTGCGGCTCGCGCTCAGCTGCGTTACGCAGGAACTGTGGGTTGGTTGGCTGGCCGACGTAGAGCATGCAAATGATTGGCGAGCCGGACGTGCCGTCGGCTCCTTCAATATCCACTGTAGGATGGAATGGCGTGTAGTGCGCGCTGTACCCGTCAATCTCTCGGTCGTCGAGGTAGTCGTGGACTTCTTCGGCGTGGGATGCTGGGATGTGGTATGCTGCGCCCCAGACCTTGCCTGTGGAGGATGCTTCGGATTCTAGGTGGGCGAGCTAGGGGAATTAGGTTGATGTTGTTGTACGAGATAGGCGCAAATATAGAACGTACCGGATCGTCCAAGGTCTCCCAGAAGGTTCGCTCAATTACGGTGACTACTCGGCCCGGTTGCTCCGGGGTGCCGCGGTGATCGGTGCTTTGGGAGCATGTTAGTGCTTTGTGATTCTTAGTAGATTTAAATGAAAGTGTCTGTATGTTGAAGCATATTGAGCACAGTAAACGACATACCTAGCCTATCATTTAACAATGCGAATAATGTTAGCATAGTGATTTCAGGTGTGGGTATTTATAAAGCCCTGCGCTCAAGTGAAGAGTTCACGTACCTGCCAGAAACGCCGCACGTAGCCACTAATGTAGCCCGGTATGCGCTGATCTAGACGATCTAGTTAGTTGCTTGATTCTCTGATCACATGTGACATATATACGATGTCTCATTTTAATGCCGCCATTGGGCACTTTCACACTGCAGTCCCACATACCATAGTGTGGAGGCGGCTTCCAGATCAAACTCCTGTATACATAATCAGTATTCGTTATTTGACGCCTTAATGGCACCATTCCTGAACATTGAGTGAACTCACCCATAACCAAATACCCAGAGATCACCCTTGGGGAAATGGCTCTTCCATGCCCGACCGTCCGGATGGACCTGATGTCCTTGTGCAACGGCGGCCATATCAAGTATACAAGTGCCAAGTGCGCTTCAATGAGTTAATTGACTGCACTTTTCGACCTTCCCGAGGTCCGGGAAGGGGATGGATTAATAATTCGCTCCGGCGACGGCTGGGCTAATGTTTGCGGGAAGCAGCAAGTCGACTTCGGAGTAGAACAGGGGCTCGGACAGTTTGCTAAAGATGGAGTGCTGATATAAATTGCATTTGATCGTATTTGTATCAAATCAAATGTTGAAGTGGCCCCAACTCAATCATACACTGATTTTGTTTGCAATGTTTGTTCCTGGGTATCCCGCCATCTGCGCGGTGGATGAGACATCCCAACGCTTTCAGGGTGCAACGCGAGAGAAAGATGTTGCGATGGTCTATACATAGATTGAATCAAACATCTTTACATTCTTCATCCGAAAAGAAGGTACCTGGTAATTTGGGATCCCGCTCAGGTGAGACGTTGACTCGACTGGCCTTTTCTCATTGCAAGCGGTTCAAGTACATTGATGATCGGTCCCAATTCAATTCTCGTATACTTTCAGTCCGAAGTTCGTCACTTTCGATGCTGCTAGGGCTTGGGCAATGGATATCCTCAACCGCGTCCTTTTGAAGAACAGCACTTATCCTAACGGGACCATTGCAAACTTTGCCTTTCAACATTTTTCAGCCCCAAGTCTTCTCACACATTGCAAGATTACGATACCCGTGGATGGTCTGATGGCAGACTCAGGCCGCGAAACTGCAAGTATTGACATAAAACAGTGGGCTGTGACAAATGGAGTGGGCCAGGATCACCATTCATGCAATAGCAAACCCAGGGGGTCAAATTGTAGACTCCATCTTGTACAATTTGCAACTCGACCCTGGATGCAACGTTAGGTAGATCCCCCCCCCCCCCCAACATTGCGAGGTTCACTTCTGGTCAATGTGATAATACAACTTCCCGGGACAGTATGCGCATCTTGTTCACTTTGGCCGAGATTAGCCCTGGCAAGCTGATTCAGAACACATCCATGTTAACCTATATCGACACGACGAAAGAGGCGATGCTCAATCGCACATTTCAGCTGATCTGCTATCCGGGATACTCGCTTTTAATGCTGCACGCTGAACCCAATTCCAACCAATCCTCGTCACCTCTAGATCTGAAAAGGATCGGATCGAAAAGCTCCAGCATGCTTGTTGCCAAGAATTCAGCAGAAAAAAATGAATTTCCCCCGCTGGACTAATGATGATCTTGCACTCCCCGAGCTTTCCACGGATGTGCTCCTGTCTAGGACTGAGACAGAGAATTTGTTCCAAGAAATTCAGATGCCTACATTCAGAGCAGCTCCCGCATGTTATACTCATACGGGCCGCCTACTATGATGAAACTTCATCTATGGCAACGACTCGATCTACCAACTCAATTTTCTTGTGCCTAGCACAGGAATCAACTTCTTTCGGACTTCCTCGCTGGCTGTTCCCAACTTCCTATGCCTTTCCGGGCAATTTAGTGTGCTTTCATGCGGCAACAGCAACAACTACAATGACAAACCCGCAATCTTGAATATCTGGGGAAATGTCCAAAGCTATTTCGTGGCGAATATAAGTGCGAGGACCTATATTACAGCCGAAACAGTCGAAACTATAGTACGGTTCAAGCTGTCTGGTTTCGATATTGCCGATGACCATCCTTCAGTCCCTGACAAGTCATCTGCGAGATGAGCTCTAGACCCGTGAATCAGTTGGAACAATTTCAACACCACGGATGTTATCACCGAGAATCCAAACCTGGATGGGCTTTTCACGGCGCTGGTTATGTAAAACTGTTCAATTCCAGCAGAGGACCTTGTAAGCCCAAACTCCAGAGACATGGTCATCAAAGCAATCAACCACCAGGGTGAGATTTTTATAGCAAAAGTATTCAAAAAGCACACTCGCAGTGCGGCAGACCGCACGCTGGAGCCTGCCCCTCTACCCGGAAATAGCACAGTGCCGAGCCAACTGCGTGTGTTTCAAGGCGCAGCGTCAACGCGTGTTCTTAAGCTCTTCTCGCTTCTATCCTCGTGTTGGGAATCATTGGTTCTATTCTCATGGACACGGATCATGTCTAACCAAAGAACCCGTCCAGCATCGCCACCTTCGCAAGTCTTCTTGCTGAGTCATACATCATCGCTCGACTTGAGCTAGCCATGGATCACCTGAGTGAACAGTCTCTTGGACAGGCTAGCTTTTCTCGGTGTCGTTTCTTTCTTGGATTCCCAGGGGATGCATCTGACCAGAGGTATCCTTGGCTGTTGTCACAAGACCAAGCTTCCGAGAAGTACTGTAGATACTTTCCAGAGAGGGTTAGTGAGACGATGTCGGGTAACGGGCCGATATGGGCGAGGAAGGAATTTCGGGGAAGAGTGGATGGTATGAGGTTTCGTTTTGGAAAAATTTAGAAAAAAACTACAAGCACATCTTACTCGCATGTGTGTGTATCATATAATTATCATACCCACACGGTGATGTTTCCTTCCTGTTCATCTTGGTATCTATGATTGGCACTCTGGCAAAAGTCATGAACGAGGCGGACTGTAGTCGGCAAAATTTGATCTACGGTAATACAGGCATAGTTCCTGCTGTAGTTTCATCTTGCGTGTTGCAGCACAGAGCATCCATACATAGATAACGTACTCTGTGTATGTAGTTGCACACTGCCTTCAATGTCGTTGCCTTCCATGTGTACCGCCAATCGCACATCCTTATCGCATCCTTATCGCATTTCACTATCGATAACCTCTATCGGCTTCTTTTTCTCCAAATCACCATCAGACGCGCCTCGGACGCTTAGGACTTTGTTTACTGGAATTTCTTTTCTCAAGCTTTGGAATTAAGACATTTATCATGGCAGCCCTCCTTCGCCTTCTTAAAATGCAGTACACCCCTCCCATCGATCCCAAAGGTGTGTCCTTCGCTGGCAAGATCGTCATTTTGACAGGTGCCACCTCGGGTCTTGGCTTCGAAGCAGCCATCAAAATGCTCAATCTCGGCGTCGAGTCTCTCATCATCGGATCTCGCAGTGTTGAAAAAGGCAACAAGGCCAAAGCTGACCTCGAAAAGGCCACTAACCGACGGAATGTGGTCAAAGTATGGGAACTCGAGATGAACAGCTTCCAAAGTGTCAAAGACTTCGCTGAACGCGTCAATCACGAGCTGGACCGCGTCGATATCGCTTTACTCAATGCTGGTCTTTGGAACCGAGAATACCATCAATCCCCTGAGGGCTGGGAAGAGACTCTGCAAGTCAACACACTCTCAACCTCGATGTTGGCCTTACTTCTGCTTCCCAAGCTAAAGAAAAGCTCTTATGCCGGAAATCCCGCACACCTGACTGTTGTTTCAAGTCAACAATTCATTCGTGTCAAGGCTGAAAGCGTCCGCACCGATGATTCGCTGCTCGCTCACGTGAACGACCCGGCCAACTTCAAGGGTCCCAAGCAGTACGGCATTTCGAAACTTTTACTTGAATTTGTGATCAAGACTATCGCCAATATGGCGCGCGATGACGACGGCACTCATACCCTCGTTGTTAATTCCGTCAGCCCCGGGCTGTGTATCTCGGCTTTGGGTCGCCAGTACAACCACTGGTGGGAGAAATGTTTTGTTTGGGTTATGCACAAATTGTTCGCGCGGACTACTGAACAGGGAAGTCGGTCGCTGGTCAGTGCGACTCTCTTGGGAGTTGAATCACAGGGAAAATGCTGGCGCAGTGAGGGTTTTCTTGAGTACGACTTCTCTTTCTCCATGTTTTAATGTCATCATTGCTAATGGTTTCTTAGTGAGTCAGCTGCGCTGACTACTGGCTTCGAGGGAGAAGAACTCCGAGAAAAGGCTTGGGAGGAGATTATCGCCGTGTTGGAGGAGGAAACGCCGGAGGTGTCCCTCATCTCTCGCGGCCTGTACCAGGGCGTTTAAATGTTACGACGCTGGCAAGCTAACAAGGCTCGACCAAAAAATTGGTATGTACATGCGCCTAGCGCATCTTTGCAGAAAATCCAGCGTTCTCGCCTCATTGAGATACCCACCCCTGTTAACATTAACGTGTGATTACCGAACATCTTTTGGCTTTTGCTATTGAATTTCCCAATTTACAAAATACATTGTAACCCCACCGTCGCCGCTAGATATGGGTAGAAGTGGCCCACGATCCCTGGATCTTAAAAGCATGACATACAGGCATGGCGCTTACGGTCAATGAAAAAAAAAAGCCGTCTTCGATACCTATGCCAATCCGAGACCCCGTATAGATTCAATGTCATACAGCCGTATCCATATCCCAAATAACCCTTTCTCGTCCATGAGTAGCCTTCAAATCAAGCCTTCAATATCGGACCTCTCTTCCCCGGAAGTCTTATAGAAATCAACCCATTGCATGGCGGCAAACTGAGCTAAAAGGAAGTCCTCCAGCTTGGCCTCGTCTAATTTTCCTATTCGAGAGCGTTGAGTCTAGGAGGTCACTGCGACAAATTTGAGCCATCTCTGGGTGGGTCAGTGTTTTTGAATCGTATATCTTGCTGCATGTTGTTGGAAAATCCAGTCCGTTTCTAGATACTCCTGAATAGAGTAAGCAGTCGTATTCGCTTTGAGTTGCCCGGTTCCCGACGACTTGGATTCGTCGTCCCTCAGCTCCTCAATGCCTCAATGATGTCACACAGCTTCCCACTGCCACCTTGTCGATCTCTAGGACTAAAACATCCGTCTGAGGTTGGCGATACTGTAGTGCGCATATGGAAATGACGTTAGACTACCTCAAGCATCCGGGCACTTCTCGAAACTTGTTTTCGTAGTCTTTTTAAGCGCTCCAGGGCTGATTCACCAGACTACTAACAGCTTGAATACAGAAAAGACTAGACGCATATCTTGTTCTATTATCACATATCAGACAGTTTTTATTATTTACTAAAACCTTTAACATTTCACTTTATCTTAATTCGGTATAAAGGGATTTTCACTGCACGGGGTTTCCCACTCGGCGCGCTAAGAATCGATACCCCACGGCTCCGCTTTCAATCTCTTGATTCTTCTCTCTCCTTCAATTTCACAATTGACCTTTGTTGCACTTCAGAATCTGGGTCGCATTCTTTCTCTTGATTGCCTGACCTCCAGGACTCCGACCATGGCTTACAACAAATCTTACAATCCCGATGCGCTGCCGGCGTAAGTGCATAGTCAATCTGACGAGAGAGTCTACAGTTGCTTATTACTGACCTGTGGAATCCTACAGTCATGCTGAGCCAGAAGAGGTGCAAATTCCGTCACCCATCTCATATCCCTTCCCGCTAACGGTGCTTAGGTCGCGCAGATGATCAGCAAAATGACGGTGTCAGGCCAAAGCCACGCCTCCAGCCACACCCAGAGCTACAATCAAAAACGGCTCCCTACTCGCCCACCACCGCAAACAGTTCACAGCAGCGGTATACCTCCACGTAGTTCTGCGTCCAGCGCTCCCCCGCAACACGCATATGCCGCAGCGCCTTCACGCTTCGAACACCACCACCCCCACTCCCACCCCCACTCCCATTCCCACAGCGGCCGCTCCTCTTCAGCAAATGGGCCTCCGGGCCAATCTCTCAGCCAGCCTCAGACTCAGTCTCGTCATCACCCCCTCCATCCGTCCCCGCCGCCCCAAAATTACGGTTTTGGCCCCCCACCAGTGCACCCCCAGCGCAACCGACCCCCGCCCTCATCGCGGCCTCCCCCATCGCCTGCCCCACCGCCCTTGACGGCACCCAGCGATGACCCGCAACAACTGTTCCCACTCTTCCGCGCTGCGAACGCATCTCACTCTGGTGCCCTCACTGAGGGCGAGCTTGGCAGCGCGCTCGTAAACGGCGATTACACGTCCTTCCACCCGCGGACGGTCAGACTGATGATCCGGATGTTCGATCGCGACGGTAATGGGACAATCAACTTCGACGAATTTGTCTCGTTGTGGCGGTATCTGGCTGCATGGCGGGAGCTCTTTGATCGCTTCGATGAGGATCGCAGTGGGCGTGTCAGTCAGCCCGAGTTTGAAAAGGCGCTTGTTGCGTTCGGATACCGTCTTAGTGGGAAGTTTATTTCTGTTATCTTTGGCGTCTTTGAAGGCAAGGCCAAGCAGATGAGCCATGCGCCGAAGGATTCTAGGCTTCCTGGTATGGGCTTTGATCTTTTCGTTCAGGCTTGTATTAGTCTGAAGCGGATGACGGATGTCTTTAAGCGGTATGATGATGATCGGGATGGATATATTACTCTGAGCTTTGAAGAGGCTTTGACTGGTACGTCATGGTGTCGGCTGTGTGGTTGTTGGGGATCATTGGCTAACTGGACTTTTGGTCCACAGAGATTCTTCTGTTGCAGGAGTAAAGTATTCTGCCACACAATCCTACGTGCTATTCTTCTTCGTTTTCTTTCGTGGTGGTGTTCTCTCTACGTTTCCGCTATCGTCGTTATACCCCCCCCCCCCCGCCCCCCATCTGTTTTTGTCATAGAATTGCCAAACCACGTTGGTCATTGCATGTTCATCGAGAAGTTGTTGAGTCCCAACCTGGTTTGAAATACGAATGAACGAACTGAGATGTTCAAAGTATTGGCCATCTTCTCCAAGGCATACAAAGTATACTCATCCGTCAAAGTAAAACCTTCCGGAGAAGAAGCAAGCCACAGTAAAGTCTACATCGCTGGTCAGGGATATCATTATATTGTAACAGAATCAATGGCTGGATCAACAAGACTACTTGGCTCAATCGCTGTCATCAGTTTCCCAGGAGTCATCATCGCTATTCTCATCGGCGTGAAGCTGTGCAAATTCAGGGTCTCTCATAGCCCGCTGCATAAGTAAATCCAAAATCCGGGGTGGGATTGGACCCATGTCAGGATCTGCTCCTGGTGGATAATGGTCGAACCCGGCTTCTTCGAAATCTTCCTCATACCCGAGATCTTCATCAAAATCGTCAAGATCATCGTAATCATCAAAGTCAGGTAGTTCATATGGCAAGATCTGGAAATTCACTTTGGTTCCTTTGAACATCTCCTTCAGATCAAGGAAACACTGCTCTGGTGTTTTTCCCTCTGGAATACGTTGCCCAGGAAGCTTAATGGGCTGCGTGATATCGATTGCAAATACCTTGACGTTGGTCAACTTGGGATAAAGACCATTTTTACAGTCTGCCGCGATGTTCTGAGTTAACTCCCGGATAGATGAGTTGCAGTCTGTGATATGGAGTGTCTCTAACGAGCTGGGGAATTGAGGGTGGGGTGGAAGGGAAGCCTGTGGGATGAGGATGGTCTCAAGCACGGAGAAATCGCGGAATGAGCCAACCTTGACGTGACTAGAAATGAGTTGCTCGATATCATCGACGTCCGGTAGTTCCATTGCGTACTCGAGATGGAACAGTTCGAGTGTATCTTTATGTATGAGGGCGGCTTCGTGAGCTTGCTTAGCGTCAAACTCGGGCACCGTCCCCGCACGCATGATGCGTCGGTCGTTAGGGTCCAAGCTGAAATTGTTGTAGGTAAAGGTTTTTAGCTTCTTGCACGCTTGCAGGAACTTTTTGATGGCACCTGCGTCGATATGGCAGTGGTGGAAGGCCAGTTCCTGGGTCTCCAAGGTTCCAGGCAGCCAAGTAGATGGGAACGATTCGTCGAAGAGATCACCGTACTCAAAGGTCGAAAAGGTGACCTTGGGAAGGGTGACAAATTTCTCGTAGGAAGCAATATCGAAGCCGGAAAGTTCGTCATCGCTTTCAATCCAGATCGATTCAAGGTTCGACAAAAACTCCGGATTATGACTGAACAGCTGGATAAATGGCTGGATTGGAAATTGGCGCACTGGCACATGTAGCTCGCGAAGATTGGGGGCACTGTTGGCTAGTAACGCTGCGAAAATGCTGAGGTCGGATTTTTCCATGGCCGAAATCCATGTGTCCTCCTCATCAGCCAATTGGAGGCCCTTAATTATGCCTTTGAAGAATTCAACGTCCTCTGCGGCAAGAGAATCGGAAGCACCTGGATGGAATGGGAGAGGCATGATGATGATTTGGTGGACATGTTTTCCGAGATCGGGACGTCGATAAATCGTTTTGGTAAATGGAATGGTCGGGCTTAGATCACCGGCTAAACCATCATCATAGAGCTCACGGAAGAGTAGAGGTTGGGCGACCTCGCGAAACTTCCGCGAAACCAGACAAACATTCCGCAAAGTCTCAATCACATCACATTCCCCATCGTCAGATACGTTGTCATTCAATTCCTTCGCACTGCCAATTTTGGCTGTCGTGGTTTGATCTCCGCTCAATTGGTCGAGATCATCTTCTGGAGGAGCAAGAAAAGAGAAGATGAGATGTAAAAGCTCTATGGGAAGCCCCTGAATGTGGACCATGATGGAATATGAGCTTCGCACTGAATGTAAGCTGCACTGAGTGCTAATTCAGGGTGAAGGTGGAGAACAAGATTGTTAGAGAAATGATCTTCACGCGTTGCAGCGCGTGAAGCTGCATAGGATTGTCCTAGAAAAGAAATTAGGGCTGAAACTTTAGGGCTTCTGTCAATACGTAGCCCAAGCTATCACATTTTCAGGTCTAGCGCTATCTTCTCTTTTTTACCCCGCACCTGTTGCTGTTGAGATGTCAGTGCCAGGCCAGCGAACGAAAAAATTCCCCTCACGAAACTTGATAACTATAGATGTAAGAATCTCCGCAAGACTGCAGACATCCCCTCAGGCCAATTTTAGTGCATTATGGGTTAAGTAGCTCGACGCAACTATCCCCCACGTTTCGGCCTGTTCATTCAGCCAGATGGCCTTGATTAAGTCGGTAGTAATAGCCTCCCGATCTAACAAATAGACAGTCGTCTGTACCTGTAAATCGCGTGTAGATGGAAGCTTTTTACTTTCATCTGTCCAGGCAACAAGCTGAACTAGCTTCAAAAATACTAGCCCTCCATCGAGAACTGTTTCCCTAGGCGTGATATTGTAGCTAATCTTGAACCGGAATTTCGGCCTTTGGGAGACAGGTGTGGTATTCCCGGTGGAAATCTCTACTATGATTCTACTACGTTAGAACTTTGGTGACGAGAAAAGTCCGCACTTCCATCGGCTTATGCTTGGCACCTGCTAAGACTCCGGAGTCTAGACCTTGGCGACGAGCCAACTTTTGATGACAAATCCAATCTTGGAAGTCAATCACATGATCTGACGTAACTGCCTAGGCAGCCGTGAGCCTTTGACAGGGATTGTTCAACCGACTCTCACATATGGCTAGTGCTAGGATTACATGGTGGGTCCTGCGACGGGCACTAGGTATTTCTCCACTGTGTCTTCTGGTCCTTTCATCATCCTTCTATTGTTTAAGACAGCAATGATCACTTCAAGTTGACAAGGAGTATGACCTCTCACTTAATTTACCAATGTGCTTGTCAACTTATATGGATCATAAATCAGAAGCTCACTTATCCTTTTCTGGTGACTGATGGCTACTCATTCCCTCGTCTCATTTGTGCTCTTACTCTCACTCAATCTCAATCTCAAGTTGTAGATCATATTTCCCAACTCCGAGGGTAATTCTAGACAGCACATGCCCTAACTCCATTACTAGTAGCAACCCCATTTAGGGACTGCTAGTAACTACTAACGCATGTCTCAACCGTGTTCATTTCCAACTGGGGTCATCTCCGGGTATTTCTATATGTCGGCCGTATTTTCGGCTTCGTTGTGTGCTTTTTCTCTTGTCACATGTAGTTCAGGTGGCTTATATAAAAACAGGGTCGGGATCGGTGCGTGCCAAAGGCCGCTCCCGACTGCAGGGATCCACTCCCTGGCTGGTGCAATTTCCCTAATTTAGCACCTCGGCTTTCTTACCAATTCCTTCAAACTCCGAAATAACAGATCTGATCTGTTCGCCTACTTTTATATACGTATCATGATGGTTCTATCATTCTAGCTACAGAGAAATTTCCCGCGATCGGCAAAAACTGGATAGCTGAGACGGACCACAACTTCATCTTTCGAGAAAACCTTTCCTCGTTTCTAATTGCCCCCAACACATCATGAAGACCGAGCGCCAGCAACCAGATGCTTTGAGCAGTAGTACTGATTCCGACCAACCCAACGTGGAAAAGCCTCTCGATATCCCCGAACAGGAAACCGAGGTCCCCGATCAACCCAACAATGCAGAGAATGTGACGGAAAAGGCAACGAATGGTGCGCCCCTAGATCAGGTCCCCTCACAGGCAGCAAAAATGGGCAAGAATAAGATCATAGTTGTGATGACGGCGCTCTGTGTAAGAAATCTCCCGATGAGAGAATGTTCGGGGAGTACAGAATCTAATTTGGTGTCGTATTCTAGTTGGCTGTATTCTTGGCGGCTTTGGACATGGTACGTGCTCATTCATACACCCCTTTGCTGAATAGGTTGCTTAGGCTTTTAACTAACATAGATCCTTCGCAGACTATCATCTCCACCGCCCTCCCCACTATCGCCGCCCAGTTTGATGCCTCCGAGAGCGGTTTCTCATGGATCGCATCGGCATATCTTTTGGCGAATGCCGCCTGTGTTCCCCTGTGGGGCAAAATCAGTGACATCTGGGGAAGAAAGTCCATCATAGTCTTGGCAAATGTCATCTTCCTGGCTGGCAGTCTGATCTGTGCTTTGGCGCATAACATGGCCACAATCATCGCAGGTCGAGCGGTCCAGGGTGTTGGTGGTGGAGGTATCCTCATCCTGGCAAACATCAGTGTTTCGGATCTCTTCAGCTTGAGGTATGGTGACTTCTTAGTCTTAGGATGGAATAGAGCTAATACGTATGCAGAGATCGTCCGATGTACTATGGCCTTTTCGGTGCAACCTGGGCCATCGCAGGCGCTCTTGGTCCTATTGTAGGTGGAGCTTTCACTACCAATGTGACTTGGCGTTGGTGTTTCTATCTCAATCTTCCTGTGGGGGGTGTTTCGCTCTTTATCCTTGTTCTTTTCCTTCACATTGAATCGCCCAAGACTCCATTCTGGGCTGGCCTGCGCTGCATTGATTGGACAGGAACTTTCTTAATCATCGGTGGAACCCTGATGTTCCTCTTCGGGTTGGAGTTCGGGGGTGTCAACTACCCCTGGGCCTCACCTACCGTCATCTGCCTGATTATCTTCGGTGTGTTCACATGGGCTCTGGCAATGTTCCTGGAATGGAAGCTGGCAAAGTTCCCGATCATTCCCCCGCGGCTGTTCAACGAGTGGTACAACATTCTCGTCCTGCTCATTTGTTTCTGTCACGGATTCACCTTCATCGCCGCTACCTACTATCTGCCGCTTTACTTTCAGACAGTCCTCCAGTCAAATCCCATCATGAGTGGTGTGTATGTCTTGCCTCTGGTGTTGTCTCTTGCAGTCGGCTCAGGGACCACGGGTATAGTCATGAAGAAGACCGGCCGCTTCCGCGAGCTGATTATCGGTGGCATGGCCCTGATGGCCCTTGGATTCGGTCTTTTTATCGACTTCAAGGCATACGCTTCATGGCCCCGTATCATCATATTCCAATTAATCACCGGTCTCGGTGTTGGCCCCAATTTCCAGGCACCTTTGGTCGCCTTCCAAGCCAACATCCGTCCCGCCGACATGGCTACGGCAACAGCTACTTTCGGCTTTGTGCGTCAACTTTCCACTTCGATGTCCATCGTTTTGGGCACCGTCATTTACCAAAACATGATGAGTCAACAATCAGCCAAGCTTATCGCCTCCCTAGGCGCTGAAACCGCTGCGACTGTTGTGGCTTCCTTTGGCGGCACCTCCAAATCCCTCGTCAGCAGGCTTACTCCCTCCCAGCGCAAGGTTGTCCTCGGCGCATATACACATGCCCTGAACCGCATGTGGATCTTCTATACCTGCATGGCTTGTCTTGGCTTTGTTCTCGCCATTTTCATCCGCCGTCGTGAGCTGACTCGCAATCACACCATCCAGAAGACCGGCCTTGCTGAGCAAGAGCGTGTCCGTCAGGAGCTTATCGACTCTCAGCGCAAGGACAACTCGAAGCCTGAAATAGAGGCCTAACTTCTCTCTCTCTCCTCCGCGCTATATGACACATCTTCTCCTTAAAAGTTAATGCATATTGCTCAATCGGGTCCTTCTGTTATTGTAGCGCCAAACTTCTCTCACTAGGGTTACCTTGGAGTTTTTCCTTTTTGTTACTGTCTGCAGATTAGTTAGGATGCATTTTGAGCCTTTTTCATTGATAAAAATAGCTAATTGCACAAAAAATCATATGTCCTTAGCATACCTTGTTTCAAAATCTCTACATGTCACTGGACGCAATTATAGTCACAATACTCTGTCAACATGTCGGAAATTTTGGCCCCTAAGAAACAACACATGTTACTTTACAATTTCCTAGCCCATATGCATCCAGAACCGCCTCTTATAGCATACTATACACCCATCATGAGATCTGAATGACTCCAAACTTACAGAATTATCCATCATGAACTCAATCATGAAGGAATTGAGATGTTCAACAAGTCCTTGCCCCGCCGATCCCACAACAAACTAATTTCCCCCTTCAGCTCCGATTCGGTGTTGAGGTGTCTAAGGCCATTTGTGCCCCAGAATCAAAGACTCTTATTCTGATACAAAGGTGATTTTTCCTCCTCCTCCTCATCTATCGGCAGTGATCTGGCTAAACCCATAACTCTTCTTCGCCCCTATAATTCACCGTTATCTCCCCCGCCTGCTTGAATTCCGAGATTCAATACTGGCTATTTCAGGTCATCAATAGAAAGATTTCTCTTGAGCCTCGCTCCCCGTACCTCTTTCCCTAGCTTCTCTCTCACTTCACTTTCACAGTTACCAGATCTCTTCTCTCAATTCTCCCTCATATAGCAAACCTAGGGTATGCCCTAAGATGATCTGTCTTCTGGCCTTTTGTTTGAGCTGACAATAAGTTGACAACTCCAGTTCAAGCACATGCCACAGCTAACCCTCCATCCATGCACTGTGCATAGGACACAGTGGAAGCCATCACTATTATACTAGAATCCATACGCGGTGCTGCATGTCTGACAAACCCCACGAGAAAGGCACGGTGAAAACGTCAGAGCAGCAACTCCGAGGCACAGAGGTGCGAGCTCAGGATTCCGATCAAGAGCACCCATCTGTGCTTGTATTCAATCACCTTCCAAATGCAAAGCAGGAGCCACGGGTTGGAATTTATCTCAGCTTCGTTATCGAAGCAGATCACGATGATGGCACATTCACACTTGCCCTATACGTGGGGTCGAGCATCTGTTCAACAACACCCATGGGCAAGTCTCGGTGGGAATTTTAAAGCAACAGCTCCGTGGTACGGACCTACGAGTTCGCGATTCCCAGAATGCCAGTGAGACTGCGAAGACATGCAATGAAGAATCCAGCACTTAGATACCCAGCTGGCGAACATGGGGGCTCTATCGCCAAGGTCCATGCTACCATGACCCAGATTGTCAAAATTCGAGTGAATCACCTCTGTACTCATCTCCAATCACTCGTGGTCTGTGCGAGAAGTCCTTGACGTTCAAGCGTGTCGGGACTCGAATTATCGGATTACGACCGATGGAAGTGCTGGTCTAAGATCAGTTGTAGCTAGATCGAAGGAACGCTCGATCCAGGGGTCATCGCTTGTCTCGAAGACTGAGTCGAAGCCTTCCAATTTACGAAAATCCTAGTTTCGTTGCGCCCTTTTTCCATCGGCTGTTATGCCGAAACAAATGATGGAAAGAATTGTCTCCACTGTAATGGCTTGCATAAGCCTTGCGAGACGGTATGTGTTCGTTGTTGTCGCTGTGACGTTTCAGTATTCACTCGTGCTGATAACACTTAGGTCCCCGAGGGGATTGAAGGGCATCGTTTTGAGCTTTTGGCCTGCTTGTCCTGGGTTGAAGAGTTCTGGAGCAACTGTGAAGGTGGTTTCGGTGTGGTGCTTGATGGCAATGATAGTGATAAGGAGTCCGAGTTCCTATTGCCGCGTGCCCTGGTCGACAGCGTTGCAGCATGTATTCATCACTTGATCGCGTCCTTCGATAAATTCGTCAAGGCTCATCGTCGTGCGCATTCGCTCACTGGTACCAACTTGCCCCAGGCATATCTCGGTCGTAGCTTGGCTCTATCCCATTGGTGTTTTGTAAGACTAACTTTTCTTTGATACACTGTTAAGGATGCCTATGCGTAGTAGGTTTCCGCCCATGTCGCTCTCCTTTCGCCGCCGCCGCCGCCGCCCCATAGTACCCAGTACGAGTCTGAGTGGGCTGCACTCATTGCTGAGAGTACGCGATCTCATCGGTTGCGTATTACGGAGGAGTCGGTCCGTTCCTGGTACAGTGGCATTGTGGCCTTACGTCAGGACCTCAACGACATAGTTCAAGAGTTTGTTGACGATTCTGAGGTTGGTGAGGCCATCGCCGTCAAGTACTGCTAGTGACGGCACAAGTTCGAAGACCTGGAATACTCCCTTCTGGAAGGCCTACGGCTGTTAGGCCCATGAAAATCCCACTCGCGGAATCAAAGCCCCATCTGGACCGTAATAGTGACCTTAATATCCCTCCAGACAACTTTTCAGTTGGTTTTTCTTTTGCGTCAGTAAACTGTATATGAAAATCCAAGATGAAGCTTCTCGCAAAAAGCAGCAAAAGGCACTGGAGCATCGAGACAAATAACCAGAATACTGTCATCTTGCAGACCTGGTCAACCAGACAAAACGCAGGTATGAAGCAGTTGGCACTGGTGGGAACTCTCACAGCCAAGAGATGTGCTATGCTAGTACCTGCGCCCAGTCGGCCGTCATGCAGATGTCGGTTGTCAATTCGGCGTGGCCGTCGAATGATCTTCTCTGCGAAAACAGAACCGCAAAAACCAAACTTGAGATTTACTCGACACAGCAACTTCTGTGCAGTAGAGTCGAGGATAGTCACGTTTGCAAGCGGCGGGATCATTGTCTCTACGGCAACACCACCTCCCTGAACAGAAAACTCGTTCGTCCAAATTTAGCAACTGTTACGAATTGGGCTATCAGCAAGGGGGTGGAGCTTCCCACCCTGCACACAATGCGCCATTCAGCTGAAGATGGATCATCACAGTGAGACATTCCTCGTTGCTGTCTCCTAACGCAGTTTCGGGTGGGTTTTTGAAAATTTTTGAAGTCGGCTCTGGTACAAGCTGGAGGAGGTGATGCTCCTCTGATTCATGTCACTTTTCAGGCATTCTGATGCCATCCAGCAGGTTCTTCTTCTTCATATATCTGCATCCTCGACTTGCAATCGAGTCCGTATCATCCAGGGAAGGATTCGATCGTCAGGGGCCACCAGACTTTAAGAAGCTCCAAGAAGTTGCCTGGTACAATTTCACGATTAAGGGTAAGTGGCGATCAGGCGATGGAAAACAGCACTTCATACACTCTCTCTGCCCTAAGGTACCAATGATACATGTCTTCGAGCTTCATATGAGGTATCCACCCGCTACCGGTATACGCAAGTGGTTAAGCATCCCTAGCGATAACGAGGTCACGAGTAAATGTTTTCCGTCAGTTGATACTGTGTGTGAAAATTCATTCAAAGCGCGATTGAACCAGGCTTACTCGTCTCATATGATACGTGACCATTTTTGGCCTCACTTCGACATGGTCGACAAAGTCTAGGGCCTTCGACTGCCATTCTTTGATGCCTCTCAATCATCCTGATAGATTCTTGGCAAATTTTACCCTTTTTATAGCCCAAGGTAGTCACTCACTGCAAGTTGATTGGTGGCCCTTTTGTCTCGGCATAGTCTTTTCCGAGCATTTCGGGTCCATTTTAGCCTTGTGGGTCTCTTGCGGCACTTGCTCGTGGGTTGACCCACACCCCATGCCTTTTGCTTTGACTCAACCTGACTTCGATTCTCCTAATCCCAATCTAGTGCATCCTTCCTCGATCAAGAAAAATAGACTCGGCGAGCCCTCCATGAGCTATTTAAGCTCTAGACCTTGTACTGCATGCACTACACCATCGGGATCCGAATCATCTGCCCCTTTTAGGCAAGAGAGACTCCAACCGGGTATCAGAGGACCTGAAGCCCGGATTATCTATGGCGCTACCCGAAGAATCAAACCAAAACACGAGCAAGTCATTCCTCTGGTGCTAAACTTACATGCCATTGCCACGCTAACAATACCCTTGTCCTTCTAGCAAGCTATACGGCACGTACCAATGCAAATGGAAAGACTGCAAATACCGCAGCAAGTTCTCTCACAAGGGAGTTCTCCTGCGTCATATCGAAACGCAGCATGTCGCCCCGCACTCATTCGAATGCACTTTGTGTGGCAAGCTGTTCAGTCGACAGGACAATTGGACCGATCATATGGGCAAATTTTATTTGCAGCGAGTGTGACAAAAGGCTTGGCTTTGCGGTGATACTGGGATTGCTGGGGAATTTGTCCCTAGCTTCGAACAGAGTGGATTGGCAGTTGGTTTGATATTGAGTGACATCCGAAGTTTTGGTACTTGAAACTTGAAATAGCAATCCTTTGATTAGGAGCGAGAAAGATGGGGAACTTGAGCAGGAAGTAGGATAATGACTAGTATTCCTAAAGCAATAAAACTTGTAGGAACGTCAGCTCATGCAGCTAAACTCCGTCCCATGCGTGAGCATTTTGCACGCACAGAAATGCAGTTCCTATCACGTATAATCACACTCAACACTAAAACCTTGTGGACTAAATATAGTTCATTGGATTTTAAATATCCTGGAGTAGATTTGGGACTGGCCAGTGTGGAGGTCTACAGCATCCTGCAAATTTCCCGAACCCTTACTTGACGATGGAAGTTCCTCTGGCACCATCGGGAGGAGTTTTCACCTCTCGTTCTATTTAAGGATGGCTATCACTAGACTGTAGCACTTACAAACAAATATTCAGTAATCACATTCTAATTTTCCTAACCGCCCTCACCGCTAGGGCCTATCGGATGCAATGCAACCCTGAAACATGATCCCTGCCATATCTATGTTCAACTCGTAGATTAATTCACTCAGGAAGATTTTCTTTAGATGCCTCTTAAGTTGTCTTTATCAGATTCTAAATTCAGATGCAAAGGTACAAGCATTAAAAGAAACAGGGGTCAGTGATGTTGAAAAAGAAAAATAGAGAAGAAAGGAATGAAACAAACCTCGCAATGAGAGTATGCTGATCTCTCGTATACTTCCAATAATCATTCTTGGATGGTTAATGATCGGCCTGAAGATGAATTGGCAATCAACAAGAACAAGTTCGTCGTTGAAGATTAACCACTTTCTACGCCCGATTCCGGGAATACTACACACAAACTCTAGCAGCATGCTGATATTGTAATCTCATGGGAAATTTTAATAGACCACATTGGATCTACTGACAATCTAACACCAAGTCAAGATCTCTGAATTATGCATGCCAATTATTCTAAGTCCCCATGATGAATTCCATTTAGTGATAGGGCTGTATAGACAAGATTGGCTCGCGGTATGCAGCATTGTCACACGTCGGACTATCCCCTTGGCGCTTTAGCCTTTCATTTTGGGGTCAAAGACTGAAAAATCAAGAACACAAGTTGTGAATTCCATGCAGCCAGTGATTCTGGAAGACTTGGCCATCTGCTCAGCCCGAAAAAAGCCCACCCATTGATCGCAGTGTTATTTGGAACTGCGCTTATCTCTGAGCGTGAACCTACTGCAGAGAACAAAACAAAAGCCTCTGCTTTCTAGGATGTAAGACGTGTATTCCAGAACAGATCTGGATGAAGTTCCGAATAGTTGCGTCTCCTAAGATTGTTTTTCCCTGATTTCGTATTACTCTTTTTCTTTTAGTAAAGATGACCTATTTCATGCCCAAAATCGCCATGACTCAGACTTTATAAATGCCTGATTGCCATTCATCTGCTCAAAGAACTGATTTTTTACCCATCCGCATACTTGGCATTTACGTGATTTGGATCACTTTCTACATCCAGGTCGGCAATTTTACCATGATGGCGCGGCCAACACGCAACAACAACAGCTCAACTATCCTGGAGGCCGCTTTTCAGTGGCCTGATGGCGAGTTGGAGAATTGGAGAACCGAGTATATCAAACAGCCCGAGACTCTTTTCATGTCTCCGTCGCCTGATCCATCGACCACCACGTGGACGCCCACTGCTCGGCTTCCTTCATGCAACTTTCAGCTGCAGATTCCATCCCCGCAGTTCCCCCCCACTCCCGCTGCCCTTGGGTCAATGTTGTCTCCCACTCCTTCATCCTCGCCTCTAGATCCAAGTATCATGAAGCGTTCTGTCAACAACCACAGCCTCAGATGCGTTCCACCCCGAGCAACCAGCATCATTGCCCTCTCCTCGGCACGTCTCTCCGACACCAGATGTCCCAGTGCGTGGGATGATCTCTCTGTCTTAATTCCCACAATAAAAGAGACACTTCAGGTGAGGTAGGCAAGAAGGCTAGCCAGATCAAAACGCCCTGTCATTCTCGTTGCCCTGCAGCCAAAAGAAAGTGTGTATTCTCTTCCTTTCCTCTGGGGCAATCGTAAGTATCGTGCGGATTCACTAAGCGCACTTCGTCTAGAGACAGCAGTACATACGGAACTTTCAAATACGAATGGAAGGACTGCCAATCTGACCTTTTATTCTCGCGGAAAGAAGTGCTCATGCGACACATCCAGACTCAGCCTGTTGATCCACGGGCTTTCAAGTGTCCCTTGTGTGACCATGCTTCAAGTCGGCAGGATAAATTTTGAAAGCGCATAGACAGTTGATTCACAGGGAAATATTGTAAGCCTCAAGACTCGTGTTGGAATGTCTGAGTGGTTGGGTGCTTAGGATCAAGGGTTTTTGTTGTGGTGTCGGGAACATATATCTCGGATAGAGTGGAGTTCATGGCAGATTTAATGTCAGGATTATGTATATATAAGTGTACATACACTGTTGGCTTGTGAGAATTCAGAACACGAGAAAAAGCGCGTAGTAATTATTTTTGCAATACCACGGAACATGAAACCTCTAAATAAACAAATAGAGTGGAAAGAGTGCTTTCTTTTGCCAAGTTCAGGCGGTTGACATGGGGCGGATCCACATCACAACCTGGGGAATCAGGCCAAATCAGGCCAAATCAGGTCACACGGGGTCGATGGGTGCTAGAGCTATAGCTAATCTAAAAATATTAAAATATTACTACCGAGGTTTGTTCATCTCTATTGCCGTGGGTGTATATTTGAGGGTTGCAACGGAAGCATGCCGTGGTAGATTGGAGCCAGAACAAGGAGATGCGATCTCTTCTAGAACCAGAGACGGAAAGACAGACGCACGAAGAAGCGGATCGATTGACCGGTCTGTTGAAATTTGAAATGGTATGGAATTTGGTACGTTTAAGCGTCAGATACACAATGGGAGAAGTGACGCTGCGCGACCAGACACATCATGCTCGCCAATTGTAAGAACAAGGAGAATTATCGAGACAAAAACTCGTTCCCAGTATCTCTGGTCAACACAGCTATGAAAGTGTAAATTTTTTGATTCGTAGGGCTGTGTTGGCCCTGCCTTCTCCCACGAACGAAACGTTATCAACCCGCCAACTCCATCACCTCAAATCAACATCGGCTCGTTCCGTCGACTTTTCCTTGCCTGACCGACCGTCTGTGCGAAGAATGGAATCGCCCACTGAAAACAACACAAAGAAGCCGTTTAGATGTTGGAGGGGTAGAGCATAACACGGACGGTAGCGCCGAGAGACTTGGGGGGGAGGTTGTTGCGGAACTTGGCGCGCACAACACCGGAGTTACCTGAGACAAGTTAGATATACGAAATTCAAGTTCGGGTATCCCAGACCCAGAGGGCCATTCAGAAATGGTCATGAGACTGGCTTTTGCATTCACGTACCGTGCGGCCGGGTGACCTTGCCCCAGATCACCCGAATGTTGGAGCCGCGGACCTCACGCTTAGCACGGTAGACGAAAGCGACCTTCTTGCCGAGGTAGAACTTGGCGGACTTGGTGTCATCCACACCCTCAATCTTGACCAAGCTGTACAACCATATATCAGATTCCATTCATCGAGCATTGAGTTTCTTGTGCGCAGGGTGTAGATACCTGGTGTTGGGGGTGAGGTTGTGCTTGGAGCGCTGGAAGCTCAGGTGACGTCCCCTGTCAAAAGAAACTTGCATTAACTCTCTGTACACATCATGTAATGCTTCGACTGGAATGGCGATGTCTTGTTCCCCAAATCGAATCCGTCCTCCATCTCGATTTGGTGTGTTCTCAAGTGCGGCGATGAAAGTGCGCTGGTAACTTACTTGACGTAGACTAGAAAAAGAAGAAAGTAGTTAGCACGTGTCCTTTGCCCATTGTGCAATCACACAAGGTGCATCCTCAAGATGCCGCTTTGCGATTTCAAGACCACCAAAACGACGATCGATAAGACGTTCGAGGGATTCACTCACGGCGGTGTCCTTGTTCCGAAGGCATTGTGTCGGCGTTTCTCTGGGGAGCGGGCAAGGAAAGAAAGTCGAAGGAATGACCCGCAAGATCAAAAGTCGTTCCCGTTTGTCGTGGTTGTCGTCGCTTCGATAGAGTCAGGCGCACAATCAATTTGGGCAGCCGTGTGTTGGTTTTCGCCCTAGCCCAAACGGGATCTTAGCGAGCCACAGTCCACGTGACTAAACCAGGGCTAAGCGAGATCCCGTGATAGACACACCGCCTCGTGTCTTATGTCAGCGATTAGATGGGCAGAATCAGAGATGAGATAAGCGTTTGGAGGGATTCTTGTTTCTCCGGTCCGAGTCCTGAGTGGCTATTTACCGATCAATTACCGCCCTACTGTTCTTTTCTGCCACTCGGGCTACAGTAGTCCGACCGGCACGCCCAAGCCCTCTTTCTGCAGCTGTCCGGCTGACAAACTTGAGCCATGACGACAGAGGTTCCCACCTTCAAAGTTGGAAGGTTTCATTCAAGAAAAAAGAAACAATTCGCAAGGCTATCGCAGGTCTAAGTAGTGAACAAATATCTTCATCTTAGCCAGCTTCCTCGAAACAGGAATAACAAACAGTTTCAAAGGATAACAGAGACTTGATCCCGGTAGCCTTCGGGTATATTGTATACTTCAGACCGAGACCACTGATTGGGAAATCTAGAAGTTCCTGTATCCTGCCCCACATCCTGGCTGACGGATCACTGATTGCATTTGAGACCGGTTATACGGAGTATATGTATTCAAATGTAATTATCGAAACTTGTGGCAATTTTCAAGACACGTACGAGAGACCTCAGGAACTGGACTAGCGTTAGAGCATAGATAAAGTAGTAAATTTAGTCTAGCCCCAAGTAATACTCAACGGTTAATATGCATGCTCCGGATTCGGACCCTTCAAATCGTAGATCGGGTTAATACCAGTCTCAACCCGGATTTAAGAAAGTGGCCTCTTGCGGGAGAATAGAATCCGTCTGGGACACCATGACAAATGTGCCGATCTATCCCCACGATTTGGGTCACCGGTAGAAGTCCTTATCAAGTTGCGTGCTCAAGATACGTGGTATTCTGTTGATACCTGTTCTTGCAGGTTTGGTACTTAAAATTTGATGCACCCTCTTGTGGGATTTTAGTGGGCATTTTGCAAACTTCCCCTCAATGTGATGTGGTGGCTTGTTTTTTCAAATTTACGGAGTAGCTCCGCTTTAGGAACATGTGCATGATATGATTTACAGGCTGACCGCAAATCTGACCGTAGTGTGCATAAATGCTAGTACTCTCTAAAACAGCATTGAACATCCTTCATAGTTAGTGATAATGTTCGACATTGTTATATCTAGATGCCTGCCGCTCTACGATCGAATTCAGCCAGTTTAGCACTTGTAGGTGCACTGCACCTCTTATCAGATGACCTCCCTTTTTTTTCCCTTCACTTAAATGGACACAGGGATTTAGTATCAGAACAAGGATAAGTGACATATTCACATCGGACACTATTAGCAATTGATCCGGTGCACTTTGTATCACCCCGACCCGAGTTCAAGCCCGCATAGTTACAAGCAGCGCTAATGGCCCTACCAAGGTGTTAGCCTCCGCGGGGCTATTGAAAATCAAAACGGGTAAGATCCCATGGGATCTAAGAGCCAATGTTGAAGGTGACAATAGAGCGATCTTAAAGATCGGACTTAAGCAAGACTTGATATAAGAAAGTTGACTGGAATTTGCCATGAGGCCAGGAGCAGATCCCAAGGCCAGCATTAAATTTTACTAAAATGAGAGACAAGACACATCGGTAGACTATCCTCCGTAAAAGAAAAACAAAAAACCAAAAACCCCCAAAAAAACCAAAAAACAAAGAAAAGTGATAAATACCTTGAAGTCATAAAATACGATACCCAAGCAGAAGCCCCACCTGCCGAAGCTGTGAGCGACTTCCGTTAAAAAGTACTCCGCCGGATCCTGTTGGAGTCCTCAACAATCTTCCTCTTCTTTTTTTCCTTTTCCAAACTCGCACTAATTTTCTTCTTCATTCTGTGTATTAAAGCGGCTGGTGCAAGATGTCTAGTGTGATCAACCAGACCGATGACCGCCAGGGTGCTGGGTGAGTTTCCCCTCCTGTGTCTCTGACATCACTCCCCCTCCCGGTTGCGGAAGCCCACCAGCTGTCCTCAGCTCAATTCGACCTCTACTTATCCACAAAATTGTGTTTTTTTGGAGTTATTGCCTTCATCCCGATAAATAGTCAATCCCTCCCTTGAAAGCTTTCGCAGACTGGGTCTGCTCAAAGAGCTCCCCCACTCAACCCCTCAATTGCCGCGTCAATTGCAAAAATCTTTCTCGGTCAATCAAACACAACGCTAACAATGGATATCGCATTTAGCTCCATCGAACTTAAGGATGATACTATCATCGTGGTACTAGGCGCATCTGGTGATCTGGCGAAGAAGAAGACCGTTCGTTCCTCCCCCCAGGATGTGATGACTCTAACGAACTAACCAGTTTATAGTTCCCTGCACTCTTTGGCCTTGTGTGTGCTATTTCCACTAACAATTCCACTTCTGATCCACTTACAATTTTGACATAGTTCCGCAACAAATTCCTTCCCAAGGACATTCGGGTCGTCGGATATGCGCGGACAAAGATGGACACCGACGAATACCTCAAGCGCGTTCGCTCGTACATCAAGGTTCCCACAAAGGAAATTGAAGATCAATTAGATCAGTTCTGCAAGATGTGCACCTATGTTTCCGGCCAATATGATCAAGATGATTCGTTCATCAACCTGAACAAGCACCTTGAGGGGATCGAGAACAAACGTCAATCGAAGGAGCAGAACCGCGTGTTCTACATGGCACTGCCGCCCAGTGTCTTCACCACTGTCTCCGAGCAGCTGAAGCGCAACTGCTACCCTAAGAGTGGTCTCGCTCGCATTATTGTGAGTTTTAATGGACAGCCTGGCCCAAAACGAACCTCATGTTGATGCATCTATTCTTTTCAAAAGGTCGAGAAGCCCTTCGGCAAGGACCTTCAGAGCTCGCGCGACCTTCATAAGGCTTTGGAGCCCAACTGGAAGGAGGATGAGATCTTCCGTATCGATCACTACCTTGGTAAGGAAATGGTCAAGAACATCCTAATTCTGCGATTTGGCAACGAGTTCTTCAATGCCACATGGAACCGTCGCCACATTGATAACATTCAGGTATGTGATGAAGCGATCTCATTCTGGAATTCGGGTTCTAATATCCGCTGCAGATCACATTCAAAGAGCCTTTCGGCACTGAGGGCCGCGGTGGCTACTTCGACGAGTTCGGTATCATCCGTGATGTTATGCAGAACCGTAAGTATATTTAGTCGCACTGGCTAGACATAAGAAAGATGCTAACAATAATTTAGACCTTCTGCAGGTTCTCACACTGCTTGCCATGGAGCGCCCTATCTCCTTCTCTTCTGAGGATATCCGTGATGAGAAGGTCCGTGTTCTGCGCGCTATGGATGCTATTGAGCCCAAGAACGTCATCATTGGCCAGTACGGCCGCTCCCTCGACGGCAGCAAGCCCGGTTATCTGGAAGACGATACTGTGCCCAAGGAGTCGCGTTGCCCGACTTTCTGCGCGATGGTTGCATACATTAAGAACGAGCGTTGGGACGGTGTTCCCTTCATTCTCAAGGCCGGAAAGGCCCTGAACGAGCAGAAGACCGAGGTCCGCATCCAGTTCAAGGATGTCACCTCCGGTATCTTCAAGGACATCCCCCGTAACGAGCTTGTCATCCGTGTCCAGCCCAACGAGTCCGTCTATATCAAGATGAACTCCAAGCTGCCCGGTCTCTCCATGCAGACGGTGGTTACCGAGCTGGACTTGACTTACCGCCGCCGCTTCTCCGACCTCAAGATCCCCGAGGCCTACGAGTCTCTGATTTTGGACGCCTTCAAGGGCGATCACTCCAACTTCGTCCGTGACGACGAGCTGGATGCCAGTTGGCGCATTTTCACTCCCCTCCTGCACTACTTGGATGACAATAAGGAGATCATTCCCATGGAGTACCCCTATGGTGAGTTTACCCACCTTATTTTTTACTTTTCCAACCAAGACATAGAGCTAATTTGCATTGATCTAGGCTCTCGTGGACCCGCCGTCCTTGATGACTTCACCGCCTCATACGGCTACAAGTTCAGCGACGCCGCTGGCTACCAGTGGCCCGTCACTACCTCAGCCCCCAATCGGCTGTAGGTCTTCGGAGTATAGCTGTTTACGATGATTATGGGAAGCGGATTCGGGATACAAAGGAATTAAAATCTCTATTTTCTGACTCTGGATTGGTTGATCGGCCGGCCGGCAGGGGTCGCGTCATACTGTGATACTTGGGTTTTCGAGACCAATTCATAAAAGAATTGGATGCGACGCACGCAATGAAAGATATTTACGCATTTTTTTTGTTCTACTCTGTGGTAAATGCCGTCCCTTTTAGCTTGGGGGTTATATAATCAGCTGTCATCCACGCATGTTGTAGTGTCTCATGGGGGTTTAATGGTTGACAGCATGTCCTACGTACATAGTTCTAGAAGGCCCCTTGAGCAAAAGTACTTTCCTAATTAGGTGAGCTATACAGGATCAGAGCCCCTATACGAAGTGTGCCAAGTGCACTTATTTCCCGTGCAATCCTGGTGTTTCTATAATTGGCACCGAGTTACGTCATCACGCGTGGCGGTTCACGGGTCCACCTGGATGTCGCCAAAAGCTGACATAAGGCTGAGCCCAAGTGCTGGCTGCAAACAAACGTGGAATGTTAGAAACCCAACGCATTTAGGGTACGAAACTAGACCCGAACACAGAGAAAAGCCCATCGCCCTGTGATAAGACAAGCCGGGATCGGCATAAGGGTTCTAGCGGGTCTTTTGCAAATTAACCAGGCCGGGGGCCCGCATAGAGGGCCCGCAGAGAGGCGCTCAGACCAAAGTGGATTTTCTCTCCTTCCTTTTCGACTCTGACAGAGCTCTTTTCTTTTGGAATTCCCATGGACGCTTTCCGATGACTGCGTAGACAAACCTCTCGACACCTCATTTGCAACTCACGCATCCTGCCCCCAACCTGCGCCCTCAACAATCGACGAATCGCGGACGTATCGTGCACAGTTTCGGCCCCCGCGAGCTCCTCCGACGCCCCCGAGAACAGCACGCGACTCAATTGCCAGAAAGGATTAGATACCTTCCGGGCCTTTTCCCAATCCCCGGGAAGCATCCTCAAACAAGCTTTCTAGATCACACACTTTGTTATTTCGATTCTGAATTGCGCGTCTCTTCCGGACGGGTGTCTTCAACTTTCGAAGAGGTCACTGGCTACGCCACCAACCACCGACGATTCTGGGGTTGGGTTAAACGCGAAAAATTGGGTGCATGATAGCACGTGGGTAATAAGGATGCCGCAGGCTGCGAGGTGGGTGGGGACGCCCTCCATCAAGGGCCGGAATGAGTCCACCAGGATGGCGCTTTTGACGTTTAGTTTGGTGGGATTGCAGTGCGTATCACCCCTGTTTCTTTGTCGCTTGGATATACGGAGTCAGATGCTGCGCGAAGTTGTCTGTCGTCTAGCTTGCGGGGTTTTGGAGGCACCTGGAGATTCTAAGGGATTGTTGGGTTTTCTGTGGCTAACTCGTTTTTTTTTTTGAGATTAGATTCACGTGGGGTACTGAGATGACTTGTAAGAGCTATCCACGTTCTAAGCTGTGTGCATTGTGACTCTTCCGGGATAATGAAGGCTGATTTGATTGATTTTCTTGTTAGATTGTACACCTTACCTTCTTCAGCTCGGATTGACAAAGTCCAAGACTTCGTTGGTGTGGATTGCTGGCCCGTTATCTGGATTGATTATTCAGCCTCTTATTGGAGTTATTGCCGATCGATCACGATCGAAGTGGGGTCGGCGTAGACCTTTCATGGTCTTTGGATCATTTGTTGTCGCTTTCTGTCTGCTTGTCTTGGGATGGACAGCAGAGATTGTCGGTTTGTTTGTCAAAGATCCGGAAAAGGTACTTATCCTTCTATTGGAACCTTTATCTGGCTAAGCGAATTGTTATTTGGACGCTCAAATTTTATTTTACAGGCTAAGAATGGCACAATTGCCCTGGCTGTGTTGAGTATTTATGCGGTGGATTTCTCCATCAACGTTGGTAAGTGGCAGACATGCCCAAGCCTCAAATGAAGGTGACTTACAATGTCTTAGTTCAAGCGTGCTGTCGCGGTCTGATTGTGGATACGCTACCGATTCAATCACAACAAGCTGGATCCGCATGGGGTATGGCCCTTCCCCAAATGTTTCAGCTTGAGAAAAGCCAACTGATATTTTTTTGTTTTGCAGCCGGGAGAATGTCTGCCATTGGCCAGCTTTTTGCTTATGTGGTTGGTGCTCTCGATACTGTTAGCATCTTTGGTACTTTTCTTGGAGATACGCAGTTCAAGCAGATGACAGTGATCGCTGCTTTGTCATTGATAGCGGCGGTTGCAATCACGTCATACTCGGTCAAAGAGCGAGTTCTTATATCGGCAAGGTTTGTCGAACGTGAGCCAAGACTTGTCACGATCAACTAATTCTTAAGAAATAACAGGGATGACGGAAGTGCTGGTGCTATTCAGGTCCTCTCTCAACTCTTCAAAACTACTTTCGAGCTACCGCCCCGCATCCAGGCAATCTGCTGGGCCCAATTTTGGGCATGGATTGGTAGGGAAAATTCTGCGCTTGCCAGGAAATTAACAATGTTAACATCAAGCAGGCTGGTTCCCCTTCCTCTTCTACAGCACAACCTGGGTTGGTGAAACATACTTCCGTTATGAAGTACCGAAAGATGACATGGCCAAAGCAACAGATATGCTTGGTGAAGTCGGCCGCGTGGGCAGTCTTTCATTAACAGTCTTCTCATTCATCACAGTCTTCAGCTCTGTCCTCCTACCATTTTGCATCATGCAGCCAGATACCAAGCGGACCCGGTTCACCGCACGACCTCCACCAAAGGTCGCAGCGGTTCTCAAAGCCATTACTGCAATTCGACCCGACCTTCAAACCGCCTGGCTGATCTCCCACATCATGTTCGCCGCCACAATGGTTTTCGCCCCTCTAGCTCACTCCCGCGCCTTCGCAACATTCCTAGTAGCGGTCTGCGGTATTCCGTGGGCAATCAGCGGCTGGGCTCCATTTGCCTTTATGGGCGTGGAAATTAACAAACTAACAATGGGCGGCTATTCCCCGGTAATACCACCCTCCCGATCCGGCGTGACAATGATCACCTCAGCAAGTCTGCGCAACAACGCCGCCGACACTGAGCTGGATGTCCTCCGGCTGAACCACCATGATTTCACTGACAGCGACACCGACGAGGAGGAACACGCATCTAATATCCCATCAACAGGCGAACTAGCCGGAATCTATCTGGGCGTACTGAATGTGTACACGACCCTGCCCCAATTCGTGGGCACCTTTATCAGCTGGATTGTCTTTAGCATATTCGAACCAGCCGCAGAATCCACATCTGACAACAACTCAGATTCGTGGATGAATCTGGATAAGGATAGGTATAATGCCATCTCCATCTGTCTCTTTATCGGGGCAATCAGCGCGCTTGCGGCTGCTGAGGCTACCCGTCGACTGCGGTATATATTATGAACAAGCAGTCCGCAACGGCTGCAAAGTCACGATCCGTTGCGATGAGTAGTCGTTTATTTTGGCCCAATTCCCGATGTATCCTGCATACGATTCTTGTCTTGACTGAGGTTGAGATTTTTGGTTTGTGCATATGCGCATATTAAGAGACTCTACATGTATAGTGCGCCGGGCCCTTTATCTGTCCTCCATAATAGGAGTTTTCGTCTTTTTTTTTGGTTTGGCACGTACATCCATATTACATAATATTACATGCTTAGATGCCTACGTACGTACGAAGGTAGCTATGGGTACCATGTTACCCCTACCAGATGGGGTTCTATATCCAATTTTAGCTGCCACTTTGATGAAGGCGCTCAAAGCCAGGTTCAAAGCAAGGCTCAATGTCGGGCTCATAGAACATGGATAGTTAGGGCTCAAACTGTCCATGTGACTTCACCTGACGCTAACTGATTAATCAGAATTGGGTCAGAGCTGAGGCGGATCCTCAGCAGAGCAGTTTGTCCTTTTTTGGTGTATTCTGTTTTTTTTCATATAAGCGCCCGTTTCTTATGTTCCAAATCTACCTTTTGCCCTGTGTGGTGGGGGGGGGGGGGGGGAGAAGGAAATACCGGAATGAGAATGACCTGGGGTTATTTATCTCATGTCGTGTTTCCAACCAGAGGATTCAATCGTAATGTATGATTTATTTGGCATCCTCGGTTTCATAATAACGTAGATCACTGTAGAGCATAGAAATATCTGTCCACTGACTATACAATTCTCAAATTCTGGGACTCCGTGGCTCTACTGAAACATTGCTGCATGCATGGGCACCAGTCAAAAATCACGGATCAAGGTGGCGGCGAGGTAACCAGTCATTGTACTGTAGGAGGTATGTGATGGCTTGCCTGCACTGAACCTTCCAGGGGTAAGCAAGTCCCACACCGACTTGAACTAGGCATGGTAGATGTAGAAATTTAGCATTTCTCTTGGTTGTTACATGTAGACACGAACCGTTTCTTCCTTAGATGGACACTGGGCCACGGCTTGTAGACGATTTTCTCACCATATCAATTGATCCCATCAAAGAGATATCACGAAAATTTCTAATCGAAGCGCAGATTTCCTAGAAGAGTAGGCAAAATCTCCCTTCAGGTCATCAACCTGGAATGGTCCAAGAAGACAAACCTGAAGAAATTAAAGACGTGAAAAACCAGATAACATCAGTGAATATAAGAGCCCAATTCGAGCGATGGATGGTATATGAAGAACCGACTTAAGATGGAAGAAACCATTCAAGTCAAGCCCAGACTCTAACTGGCAGTACAAATAATGGAAATCGTTGTTGGCAACAGCACCTGCAGTCGGATAGTGACGCTTGCATTTGGCACAGCCTTGCCTACCAATCACACAGACATTGCCCCTCCATCGCCTCACCGGCATCAAGATCAACCTGAGAACTTTCTAAAATATTACCTGCTGTATGTTGTATCCTCCTGTTGTATCCTCCTATGGCGTATCGTCACCCTGATTGCACCACGAGCCAGGCTTACCTAGACCCCTAGACAAAGTGTTTCTTTCCACTTGAGTCAATAAAAGACCAAGTCACCCCTCTAGAGTGAACATCTTGGATATATCTGCAGACTATCTCATCCTTTTCTACTCAATATCAAATACTCTAGAGACCCCGAAGAAAATTTGAGGCCATGTTAAATACCTCGACTCGGCGTTGAGGATCCGGATTACCATCCCGGAACTTCTATGCGACCGCCTGCCTCTGCAGCTGGACAGCGACATATACAATGTATATATCATCCTCAATATGACCCCTCTATGATTCATGCCTCCAGGTCTCTTGGCCCCAACCACTCTATCCCACCAAAGAAGAGCAGTATTGCAGCTTTTATCGAATACACAGTACGGAGCCCCCGGTGTTGGAACCAAAGAATTCCTCAGTGCTGGCTAATCTACGTCCGATGTCTGGTTCCGGGCACTGAATCCATTCTTCTGTGAGATATCCCCGCTACACGAGAATCACATTGGAGTTGGTGATGTGGACGTAATCTCCCGTCATGGTGAACCCCAGAGACGAGAAAGAGTCACATGTTCTCACTTCTCCCCACTTCACCGCTAATAGTCTTCGTTCTCTCTCAATATGCCGGACGGTTATTTCATTATTTCACATGCGAATGGGGCGACTGTGCACACCACAAGACGTTTAGCAGCTGTGCATCTTTTATGCACCATTTCAAGGTACAGCGTATTGCATATTTCCCCGCCAAGTGGCCGGAAAGTTCGGACAGTCCTTTGAAATGCTGCTAGGGCCACTGTACATAACACGAGTCGCTTTGCAGCCATGCATCTTTGACGCGCCATGTCAAAGTGCAGCATGTTGAGCCTCGCTCCGTCAAGTGTCCGGATTGTGATGATGTCTTCGGTCGCGTGGATAATACGAAAGAGCATTGGAGAAGATGTCATGGGATTTCCAACTGAGAATGTGACTGACAAAGCTTGCGATACTGAGCTTTATGATCTTTGGCCATGAGTGTGTGAAAGCTTGTCTTTGGGTGAGGTGGGGGGGAGTTTAAGACACGTTTTGGGCGCAGCGGGGATATACTGAGGGATGAAGAAATCTGGGAATTCCATGTGAGTTTTAAGCGAAATCGATCATTTCTACTGAAGCATGTCATGGAGGGTGAGGTCAAATCAAACTGTCCAAATATGGTAGCCCCACTGGTCCCATTCGCGATATCCAAAGGACCAATCTTGATCATCCATGATCATCCACCTGGGCATGCCGATAGTATGACAAGACACATCTATGGATTTCCATGTTAAATGTCACACGTGATATGACTAGCATGGTACATTTAATCGATGCACTTTGCGCAAAGGTTCGTTGTAGCTTAACTTGAACTTATGTCGATCAGATTTTCAGCCCCGTCCTCTTAATTTTTTTTTCCGGATGTTGCACGAAGTACTAAAAGTAAATCACTATAAACAGTTCCTAGGTGGCTGGCATCTAATAGTCACCTAATAATCAGTCCCTAGGGCCTAATACTGCTCAAGCATCGAAAGCCATAGGCCTATGTGTTGAACAATCGGGGTTGACGGAAATCGGAGATAAGATCTGACAGTTGACATAGCGATGTGAAAGGTTTTAAAAAAAAGAAGTAGAGGCCCTAACCACGCTACGCTCTGCTTACTCTGGTACTCCCTATAGCCGGCAGTGTGGCAATAGCCCCGGAGTACAACGTAGCCCTGGAGAAATAGATGGGGTAGGGTTGGCAGAACAGCCTATAGGCGGTAAGGCAGAGTCAACAAGAATAGTCTCATGCGGCCTTCTTCTTGATGATGCAAGACGTCAACCGTCGAAAAGAGATTTATGGATGTTGTATGTAAGAGCACTTCCATGTGAGTACCGGTAGATGTCTCTGAACATGGTAAAAAGTACAACCTGTGGAGAGAATTTTCTAAAAATAAACATATCTACTGCACTACTCGAGAAACAGAGTAAACAGCAATCGACCTCTTCACAGACATGCTACGAAACCAATTCTTCAATGTTCTTTGCAATTCTCCACGCGGAGACTTATTTGTGCCCGGACCAACATTGTCTTGGAAAGCGGAGGAGCTAACCTTTGAAGCTACTCAATTTGATGCAGTGGGCCGCTCTCGGCAAGAACCCTCATTGGCTCAAGCGGCATGGATGAGTAATCTACAACTAACCTTGGTGCCCAGGTGGAGTCGATGACGGGATGGTGATGCATAGGGTGCTTGATCGCTGCAAGCGGGGGAGGGGGGGGGGGGGGGGGAGCTTATAAAGAAGCTCAATCCCACTAAACAAAACATTAAACCCGATCACATAACTCCGACTGTTCCCTTGAATACGCCCTTTCCCAAAAAAATCCAAAATGGCACCCAAAGTTCTCGTCGTCCTCACCTCCCACGACAAGCTCGGCGAGACCGGTCACCCCACCGGCTGGTATCTGGTATGTATCCTTAAATGCGTCAATTGAACACCTATGCATTCCATGGTCACAATAAGCCCATTGCAGGATGGAATTCTTTACTGACACACATCTCAAAGCCCGAGTTCGCCCACCCCCACGAAGTCCTCCACGACAAGGTCTCCCTGACCGTCGCCTCACCAAATGGCGGCGAAGCACCCCTTGACCCATCTTCCGTAAAGGCGTCCGAGTCAGACGAGGTCTCACAGAAGTTCTTGAAAGAGCAGACAGCTCTCTGGAAGAACACCCACAAGCTGGCAGATGTGCTTCCGCGCGCCGGCGAGTTCGATGCTCTTTTCTACGTTGGCGGTCACGGACGTAAGTTACTTACTTCCCTTTCTTCTGGCTATCGCATTGTCCCATCCATATGCAAAATAACAACCCACTAATGGTGTCCTATCTAGCAATGTTCGACCTTACCACCGACCCCAACTCCCTGGCTCTGATCCAGGCCTTTGCCGTAGCCAAAAAGCCCGTCGCGGCCGTCTGCCACGGTCCCTGCGTTCTGATCAATGCAACAGCGCCCTCCGGCGTACCGCTCATCTCCGGTGTTAGCGTGACCGGGTTCTCGAATGCCGAGGAAGATGCCGTCAAATTGTCTGCTGCGATGCCGTTTATGCTCGAGACGGAGCTGGGCCGTGTTTCTGGTGGGAACTATATTAAGGCCGCGGAGCCTTGGGGAGAGAATGTGGTTGTTGGGAAGGCGGCTGAGACCGGGTCGGCGATTATTACAGGGCAGAATCCTGGTTCTGCGACGGGTGTTGGAAAGGCGATTTTGAAGGAGCTGGGTCTGTAGGTGATGGATTGGAATCAACATTTAACGTATTTATGTGGGAAACGATAATAAATTGTGTGACCTCGGTCATTGTGTTTTGAGGTTTGCCATCAGTTTGTGATTCTGGTCATGGTATGCAAGAAATAAGTAAGAGGCTGCATATTTCATAGATTGTACTTCAATTCGAAGACACAGAGCGAATCATCTTGGCAGCGAAACCAGAATCCGTAGCAGTAGCAGTAGCAAAAGGGGAATAGAGCAAGTGACAGACACATGACATAAAAATCAGCAGCCCAGATTCGATAGATGGGTGGAAAGAAACCAAGACAGGAGGAGATTTGTCCAGTTGAAGATCGAAGACCGGAGAAGGGTTGAGAGATTTGAAGAAAGGAAGAAAATGAAAAAAATTAACAGATGTCACAACCAAAAAGGAATCCATCAATCGTATCGCGATGTTCGTCGGCCTGTCCATCTCCAGAATATCGAAATGGGACCTCGTTCGGTCTTCAGACTGCGCTCAATAAGCAAACACGACCAATTTCTGGTCGGGAGAAGGGTATAAATTAACAAAAAGATACATCCTGGGTGATCATAGCGAATGGAGAGAGCCAGGGGAAATGATTAGGAATTATGATTAAAGGAAAGGTGGTATGGAGACGTCGCAGACTAGCGCCTTGGTCCATCCTCCACATTGCCAGTCAACTCGGCCACTCGGGCCTTGATGCGGGCGACACGGGCTTCGATGGCTGTGAAAACATGCATTAGTGCGGGATCAGTTTCAGGGATGATATTGCTACTCACTCTCTTCTCCGCTAGTATCTCCCTCGTCAGTGCGCTCTGACTGGCTAGTCCAGGTGTTGGCCTCGGTGTCGTTTTCTTGTGCCTGCTCCTCTTGAGCAGCAGCAGTCCGCTGCGCAGCAGCCTCTCGGATCGCCTTCCAGCGATCCTGTGTAGCTTCCGTTGCTGACTCAGGCGATGTGGCGACTTCAGGGCGAACACCATTACCGGTACTCGTGGTCTGGAGAGCCTCGGCCTTCTGTCCTGCGAAGGTGACACTTACGGGAGAATATTCGGGAGAATCCTCAGGGGCGAAAGCAGGCTGGTCAGTTAGGGGTCCCTGATCAAACTTGGAGAACTCCTGATCGGCCGCGTCGCGTTCTTTGGTACAAATGCGCGAGAGATCATCATACTCAGCGGCGCGTCTGGTCTTGGGCGGCGCACCGTTCTCTTTCAGAGCGACGGAGGGCTGGGACGGAGTCGGGGGTATCGCCACAGGCTCATTGATGGTTGGTTGAATACGCTCGGGTGCCGAGGGCTTTTCCGCCTTAGCAGTCATGGGCGTAACTGCAACAGTGGCGGTGCCTGGGAGAGGCTTCTTCTTCACAGGACCGGATTCCTGAGCGGCTTTCGCCCTGGCCTCGAGGGCCGCACGAGTAGCTGCCACATTGGAGACTTCCTTGGCATCAGCGGTCTTCACGGGAGGCTGTTGCTGTTCGGGCTTCTTTTTGGTAGCAAACATGCTCTTAAAGGCAGAATTGCCAGTCTTCTTCTTGAGCTTCTTGCCCATCTCGTCCACCGATTCCCGACGCTCGGTGGCTTCTTCAATTATGAGAGGCTGTTTGATGGGCTTCTCCTCTTCGGGAGCGGTGACATGTACAGATTTCATTGACACTTCCTTCGGAGAAGGGGGAAGAGAGGTGGATACAGCGGCAGCAGATTCTTTGGGGAGTGGTGGGGGACCAGTCTTTGCAGTGTTGGTTGGAAGAGGCACCAACGGCTTCTCTTCGGAGTCCTTCGAAATTGGCTCGGGTGTGTCCTGGGGCTCATCAACATAACCAGTGCCAGCGCGGTTATCACTGAGATATGCCGCCCTGAAGGCACCCTTGTCGTAGTTCTTAGTCCACTTCATGGCCTGGGAGGCCTCGTTCACAATGGCAGGCTGCAGGGTCATGACGGAATTTGTCTTGGAGTAACGACTATTATTGGAGGGAACGCGGCTCTCTTTTGCCTCCGCTTCTTGCTCGCGGTGCTTCCTTTGTAGAGCGGCTGCGGCTTCCTGGATCCGCTTGTGCTGATCCGGTCCGATGCTGGTCTTGCTATGCGTTCCCTGGTTGTTGGGCCGATTGTAGGAGTCTTCAATGTCAGGCATTTTCTTGGCCGACGACTTGCGACGACTGAGCTTTCCTTTACGGCTGCCGAAGCTGAAGAAGCGCTTCTTCTCAACAATCTGAGCACCGGCCTCAGGCTCCGGGGCAGCACCCTTGATCTGCTCTTCAAGGATTAACCATTTAGTATCCCGAATTCTGGTCTCCAGCAGTGCGCATCGACCAAACACAGCTTTGCGGGCGGACGGTTCATCAACTGACAAACTGCTGATCCAAACCCACCAAAACGAGTCATCCATGTCTAGGGTGCTGATACTCGCCAACTCGGCCGGCTCAAGAGCCGGCTCGATGTCCAAGGAGCGCTTGTGCGACTGAGAGCTCATGCCACGTGCAATGGGAGGTAGAATCTTGTCAGGGGGCAAGAGCAGAGGACCCACGTGGTTCTTCAAACTGTTTTCATCCGCGAATCCGGATGACATGAAGTCTGCCCACGAGGGGGTGGTGGGACGGCCAAGGTCACCTGTTCCAGATTCAGAAACGGATTGCAAGCCCCCCGCAGATCCACTGTTTGTAGTCTTTCCAGTCGCTGGCGGACCAATTTCCTTGCCTTCATCCTCCGGGTCAGAGTCATTCAAACCACCAAACCCAATGTCCTCGAAGCGAGACCAGGATGCATCCCGTAAACTGGTCGACTGCTTGGTACTCGAGACACTGGACTGGTTCGCAGATGAGATACATGTGAGAACACGGAGACACTCATCGGTCAGTGCGCTGACGGGGTCTTCGTAGTTGGCGAACTCCTGCAGGTGCCAGTCGTCGTCGCGGTATTCAAAGTTCTTGGCGCGTCGCAACAGAGAAAATGGCGTCGGAGAAACATTCTCTACAATCATAACCACCTTTGTGGTTGTAACTTGCAATAAAGTCGGAATTTCAGGGGGATATTCGGTCGCTTCAACTAGTGATTGGAGAGAAATGGGCAGCGATGAAATGCCGCTCACGCCGCGAGGGACATCGGGAGACAACGAACGAAGGTAGGCGAAGAACAGGTGACTTGTAGCATCGGCAGCTCTAGAGATTGAGGTTAGAATACCATCTGAGAATGTCAGAGCAGTGGAAATCCATACACAGCCCAATTTTTATATGCAGCCTCAAAGCCTTTGCCTGTGTCGACATGCTCAAAGGCCCACCATCCCGCGTATCGGGAAAGCTTGCGGCCTCCCAAGCCGTTAGATTTTCCATGGGCCGCAATGGCAGCCAAAAGGTCGAAGAAGTCCAGAATTATTCTGGTGCGTGCATCGGAATCACCACCGATTGGAATGAACGTTGAGAAAGCGTCGCGGGCCATATCCGAATCTAATGTTTCATCAGCGCGTGTATTCCCCGCATTCCATTCAATATCGCATACCATGTTCGCCCATCTTGAAAGTCTCGTACGCCTCCCAAGTGACAACACCGCCGGGAAGTCTACTCCAACACCATTTCATCACACCGCAAAGAACCTATAGAAATGACGTTAGTGACTCCCCTGATAACCGTTAGGAAGAATTATCCCTCACCATCGGCTCAGTGAGCCGGAGCTCCTGTGACAAGACATCGCCATTAACGGGCGAGCCCTTTTCGAAAGACTGATTAAAGTAATTGCGAATGAACGTGCGAGCTGCACTAGGATCGGAGCTAGGACGGAACGGTAGGAGGAGGAATGGTGTATCGAGAGCTACGACGAATTATCAGCAATCCGAAAAAAGGCCTGTCTTCCACGGTCAAGATATCAATCCGCATACCTCGAGCCTTGAGCTCATGCGCACACCCTCGTACAAGGTCTTGGACTTCCTCCGGCGCAACCTCTGTCCGCTGCCACGCATCGGTCCATTTGGGCTTCGCGGGGGCCGTATTGACTGCAGTAGGCTTAACCTGTTTTTTTGTCACAGTAGAGTCCTTACCCCGAAACACTCTAGAAAAGAAGGACATGTCGAAGATGCGACAACTGACTTTGCTCAGAAGACAGCCTGTGGGGAGAGAGTGAGCGTCTGGTACTTTTTTTTGTTCACTTTCTTTTTTGGGCTTCTGTAAATCAACAGATTAGCAAAAATTTCAAATAACAATGTAGACAACCGACACAAATAATTAGACCGAGAGAATATTTAAACCGCCTGGATGTGTCCGGGATGTCCTGCAGCCCCGGTAACAACAGGACAAAGTAAAAGGGTCCCTGGTCTAGTATCTGATCTGTGCTTCTCCAAGAGAAACCCACACAAACCTCAGAATGAAAAGGGAAAAGAAAGGGAAAGGAAAGGACAGAAGGGTTGGGAAGAGAAGAGGGAAAAAAAAACCGAGGCGATTCACAAGCTCAGGGGTAAACCAAACTAACCTTACCCGCGAGTCTCGACTCCGTTAGATGCCTCCACACAAAGGATTTCAATGTGCGGTTCTGTTTTTTTTTTTTATCAAAGAAAAAAAATTGAACTTGAATTGGAGAGGAAAATAAAAATGAACGATACCAACAATGATCATCTCTGGGATTCTGGGTTTGGGGGATCCAAGGTTATGTAAACGGGTTTTATAGGCATCGATTGGAGGAACTGTCATTCAGACGTGTCGACATGTACATAATTTACCAGCCCAATCTCCGGTCAATCCATTGAAAATGGGCACTGGGGTATATGACTGACCTACATATACATATGGCAAAGATACATAGGTTGGCGTTGGCTTTGACTTCATCTGAGGTGCAACTATGGCTTTGAGATCAGATTCTCGAGATCTGGCGCTATACTTTGTGTAGGGAGATAGGAGAATTATAGATATTAAAGCCCTAAGGCAACGGAAATCAAAAATCGAAATCTGACTGTAGATCTTTAACCTTTAGCATGTGGTCTATCAGTGCCTGAGCTTCCCCGGGTTGACATCATAGACCCATTCCTCAGGGTAAGCTGAAAGAATCCAGTACAACAGACCAGCTATAGACCAAAACTCCAATAGAAGCTAGAGAGGATGACTCCACAGGGACAAGACTTCAGTACTTTTGTCCTAGATCACACCGGTCCTGCAGTCGACTAAAAAGAAAAAGATAAATATAGATTCCCGGCGCCTAAGGTGCTGACTCAGCCGACTAAATCTTCCAAGGTTCTGTCACTCCCCTCTCCCTCGATTCTATCTTTAGAATCAACCTTTCCTGCATCGTCAATCATCCTTTCTCCGCTCTCGTTTACTTGAATTTCTTGTTCTTTTGTTTCCTCTTAGCTGTGACCCATCTCCTCGGGTTCACTTTTGTTTGAACTCCGGGGGGTCTTCGTTTTCAAGTCGCGTCCAACCCCCTCAAAGTATCGTACAGGGTTTCCTACATTGAAACACATCTGGTTTCGGATCCCTTTGTTGACTAGTCACTTCCTCCTCGTGTGAAGACGAAGTATCTTCACATACACACGTGTGCCATCGTGTGGCTAGGATCGCCATCGCGTCGATTCTACATTTTGGCTAATTAAAATATAATCGCTCGAGGTATCTCGCCAGTCATTCTGCGGCTTGCTGTTCCGTTTATTCTCGATCTTGCTATCGGTGCGCAATTGATGCGCCCGTAGTTATCCACCATGGGTCGGAGAAAGATTGAGATCAAGGCCATCAAAGATGACCGCAACCGCTCAGTGTAAGTTTAATCATTCTAGTGGAAGCATGCTGGTCGCTGATCGGAGCTTCTTCGCTTATAGCACGTTCCTGAAACGAAAGGGAGGTCTGTTCAAGAAGGCGCACGAGCTTGCTGTCCTTTGCTCCGTTGACGTAGCTGTCATTATTTTTGGCCACAACAAGAAACTATACGAGTACTCATCATGCGACATGCACGATGCTCTTGGGCGCTATCAATATGTGGGTAGAACTTTATCCGATTCGTCCCAAACTTTTCTAACCGAGAGGGTTTTTTTGTGCAGTTCGGCCCTCCTCACGAGCATAAAGGACCGGAAGATTTCGCGGGTAAGCGAGAGGACGATGAGGAGGAAGATGAGGCCTCGCCGGTTCCCGAGGACATCAAACCTATTCAGCAGAATCACCCCGCCATTCCCCCTCACCTCCAAAACCAGCCCGTCTTCCAGCATATGAACCATGCACCCTCCGCGTCACCTCCGATGCATCATGCCATGACGCGTCATGGAACCCCGCAACCGCAAGGCACTTCGCGACCTTCTTCAAGAAATCATATCCGCCGAGTCAGTTCAAACCTAGGCCCCCAGCAACATGGTACACCTCCACCGCCGCCACCCCCTGGCCCACAAAATGGCGGGTTTACATATATGCCCAATCCGTCCATGTACAACCCGAATGTTCATGCAATGAACCAGCAACCTCGACCAGGACAGTTTGCGCACTACGGACACCCACCGGGACAACACCAAGGGACGCCTCCTATGCACCCGCACGGTTTGCCACCACAGCAGATGCCACCACAGCAAATGCAACAGCAGCAAATGCAACAGCAGCAAATGCAACAACAGCAAATGCAACAACAGCAAATGCAACAACAGCAAATGCCACCACAACAAATGCCACCACAGCACCAGGGCCAACAGCATTTCCAACAACACGGCCATCCTGTAGGAATGCCTCCGGGACCCCACCAACACGTGCAGCAGGCATACATGCAGGAACATGGAAGAAACTCGATGCCTCCAGGGTTCGCGCCTGATGGTCACCAAGAACGGCCTGGCTCGGAGCATCCCCAAGATGATTCTTCAGGGGTGATGAAAGCAGAGCACAGCCAGTCGCCACCCCAGATGAAGTCGTTATCGAAATCACGGAGCATTTTCACGCCTATTGATGATCGAGGATCTGTGCTCGCCCGCCACTTTGGAGCTGGAGCGGTATCATATGAGCCTCACAATAACCACTCTCTTAAGGTTGAAGCACTGCCACAATCCTCACTTGGTATTAAACCAATGCCTGTCAGAGCTGCGACAGAGGCTCCTCGTGCCGGGCCAATTGCTCCAGCGCCAAAAATCAAACCACCACCCCGAACTAACAGCGGACCGTTGCCATCAAAACGACCGCAGTTGAAGGTGCAGATTCCTAGCGAAACCTCTGATGGTGGCAGTGCCACGGCCGACTCATCACGCGACTCCGCTGGGAATAAAATCTCCACGCCTGCGAAAGGAAGTGCTGAAAATGGCCCTCCGGGCGTGGTCTTACCCCCTCCGTCGCCATCAGCCGGTGCAATACTTAGTGCGGGAGCGCAGGGGCCTCCAAATCCGTTCGCGCGACCGCCTCCTCCCGTTGCCACAACAAGAAACGACTCTTACGGCAGCAATAGCGGAAATCCGAACAATGGGAACAACTCGAATAACATCGAAACCCCTATCTCCGCCCTGCCGAGTCGTTTTGTATCCGATGCTCTCCTCCCGTCACCTTCCAGCTTTTTCCCTGAATGGGGTTTTAGCCGGTCCGGCCCAGACTCCAACATGCTGCCCAGTCCCCTCACCTTCCCCACTCCGGCAGTGCAAAGCGGTCCCAGCTTTTCTCGAGAAGACGAACAAGACAAAAAGAGAAAAAGCCCCGAAAGTGGATCCGTAGGGGAAGGTGCACATAAAAAGCCGAAAACCTGACGATGCTTGGCTCCCATTGGGAAACATGTCCCCCAAACTGTAAAGTGCTGGCATTTTGAACAAGAGACCTGTCCCTGTGGACAACCAGTCTAGTCTCACTTTCTTGTCAATACCCCATATCTCTTTTTGCCCCGGGGGCATTTGAATATCTCCATTTCTAGTTCGACCAAGCTTCGCAGTCCATGTATCCTCTCTATACCCCGGTTATTGTCATTCCTTCCTTTCGCCATCTTTCTTCTGTCTTCTTTACTTTTCAATGACGTTTCTTACGTGGATCTTGAAGTGATATACACCAGCGCTGTCTTGTGTCAACTTTTTTTACCTTCATTTCTCTCTTATCTCTTGATTCTTTTAATCTCGCGTTTTAGTAGAGGCCTGGCGTTGGGTCTGTTTGACTGCCTTGACTCTTGGATGGTGTATATAAAGCAGGTTCTTGTTTTTAGGAATGAAACCAATATCTTTTCCTGTGTGCCCTCGTTGATTCCAATATCTCCCGACTACTACTAGTAAGCAGTAAGCTTGCCATTTACCTGATTGAGGCATACGCCCTTACTGCAGTGTTCGATCGGAGAAGACCAAGCACCGAAAGGACACGAGGTGACATGTGACAACACAAAAGCCGACAGTATACCCGCTTTTTCTACTTTAATTCCAGGTGTTTCTTCACAAATTCTAGTATATATCCTGCCTATACTAATTTCAAAATGACTTTCAGTGAAAGCTGCATATGCGGCGGCGTTACTCACGCCGTCGAACGTATATCAATTGCGCGAAAGATGTACTTCCCAAGCTAACATTGTGCTAGCAGAATCTTAGGGAAGACGAAGTCTTCCACATTGATTTCCAGCTGGAATCCTGGAAAGGCCACCTGCCAATCCCAATACTAAGCTGATTGCTCTCTTCAACCTCTTGGGCCTTGGCCTTGAGCTCATCAACATCCCAGGTTGACCACAACGATTTTTCTTTCACGAAACGACCCTCGAGACTTACAAGCCAAATACTGAAGCTCACCAGCAAAGAGAACGCCGATTTAGCTTCATACCATCCTGACTAGGAATCTAACAAGGCTTTAGCACATTTTGTCAGTGATGGTTCAATTCTCGGGACTACAGAGCCATTGCTGACCTTTATTAATGAATGTGGCCAAAGAAAGATCCAGGCTCGGTTGTTTAATTAGACGCCTCTTTGTCTCGGCATTTGCAACCATCCTGTCCCAGCTGAAGAGACATGGGTACTATAGTCAGACTCGAGGCGTTGGTCTTACTAGGCGACCCAGATCTTGCCATATTGTGCAAAAACGAAGAGACGCGATAAGAAGTGGCCCAGGCGCTCGAGATGCATCGTCATGGGCACTGAACGCCAGTTTGGGTCAAAGTCGCCTAGATCTCAAATGCTAGGGACCCAGAACCGAATTTTCCATTTTTCATTTTGATTAATTTTTTCCAAGCAGATCAGGTTAAAGTCACGATTCGCTATGATGGGATTGCTGTAAAATGAGAGATTGCAGAGCTTGAACTCGAACATCTCAACTGGGATGGACCAGATGGCGACTTCGCAGAGTTTTCCAATCTCCATACAAACGAGATCAACCTATATATCCCTGGACCGGGGATTAATTTCTTGAGTCTCGCCTCCGATTGACCAGTCATTCCAAATCAACCTTCCCATCGCTGCTAGTTGGTCAACGCCAGCTTTTCCGACATCCACCCCCCACACAATCACAACAAGACTCAAAACTTATTTCCAAACAGAGTGAGCCGCCAAGCTCATACTACATGCGCTGGAATCCTACCATTTGACGATGCTGCGCCACAACTCTCTTCACTCGTTCATCCATTCCTACTTGATGTATGCCCAGTTTTCCGTGGAACCACCCATCAACTGCATCAATTTAGTGCATATTATCAGTGGCGAGATGAAAAGATATTGAAAGCTGTTATGAAGAAATGTGTGCATGGAGTGTGAAGCACTGTGCGATGAGGTGCCAGGTTAAGTGAACTTTTTGGAAATTCAAATGCAAAGGAAGCCAATCAGGATTCCCAGGGTCTGGTACTGTTCACATGGGAGCTGCTTGTTGCTATGCAAGGCCTCGCCATTTACATCATTATACGGCTTGACGACGGAGAAACGGAGTACAGTGGCTTCGATTCCCTTTTAATTGTGGCAGTGACAGTAAGTGCAGTCAGAATCCGACGCTCTGTTGACTGGGTTCTAGTTATCTTACACTTAGGTGGTGCCTCAAGAACTAACTGAACGTGACATTGCGGGAAACTTTCGATGGAAGTTGGAAAGATTGGCTTTCTGAGGAATCAAGAGGCAGGTTTGTCACTCACTACTTCACTACCAGTCTTCGCTTGTTTCACCGGACAAACACTGAATAATCGCTTAGATGATATGTTTTTAACAAAGTGTTAAACGTGCTGTTCTACTTTGAGCCCACATCAATGTGCAATTAACCAATGGATCTGGTTCTTGCTCCCCTGTCGACGAAGCAACAGCTTTTGGAAGCAAAAAACGAGGCTAGTTGGAAGTCATAGAGCCAAAGAGAAAGCAAAGTTCAGACTGAATTTGATGTGACTGGCAGCGGGGATTTGGTCAAACTTGGTGAGGATCACAGTGGAACAGGATTGCTTCATACATTTTTTACTTCGAACAACCCAGTGAGAACTACTGCAAATTGGGAGATGTGGTGCGAGAGAATAGACGGGTTTGGTGGGCTTGTGATGCTTGCTGCTTCTATGGTAGTATAGTGATTGGAATAAAACCTAACAGTCACTAGATGCTACAGCACCCTGCCAACCCTTCAGATGTCTATGAAGACCTCTGTAGCCTATCAAACACAATAGACAAATACAAAACTCACTCTTAACCTCCGAGGCAGATTACACGGAACACGAGTTATGACTCCTTTGCACCGAGATTATCGCCGGTCATGACCTCATCTACCGTTCAATTCACTTGATGACTATAGTGGCGATCCTCTAGCTACTTAGTTTTATCCTTGACCTCATTGGAGAATGATCATGAGATCTTTGTTCTCATAGGGATGTATGACGTCATTTCCTGGCTATAGTTCACTATATAAGAGTTCTCGCCGTACTTCTCCTCGGCACAAAGACAAATATCTTCGAACCTTTCAAATCGATTTCATCAATAGTATCTATATTCACCATGTCGGACTTCTTCCGTAGGGCATCTGACGCGTTCCATCACCGCCGAAGCTCAACTGACTCGACGGATGCACCTACATCCCCTGACGTTCCTAGTGCAGCAAAGCCTCCCGAGCAAGAGCCACTGAATCAAAAGCCCGAGTCTACTCAGCCTAAATCTTACGGTAATGAGGCATTTGCTGGTACAGCGAATGGTACAATTGTCATATTCTCGTCTTTTTGCGTCTGGTGCATAATAACAATATCACATAGATAATATTACGCCTCCGAAGCAACATCACCTTTGGGGATGGCCACACCATCAGGAAAAGCAGCCTGGGACAAAACAGCAACCTAGCCAGAAACAAGAAGATGTTGACTGGGTTGTTGGCACGTAGAACAAGACCATGCTCGCCGGAGTGGCTAGGGGTGCTCACGTTGAGTTTGTCAAGAAACCGACTATCAACCCTCTTTGTTTTATCTCGTGCACCCTCGAGCTGAAATCCTTGACTAAAATCACTATTTAGCCGCAGTTTTGATTCGCCTCTGGGAAATTGACAGGTTGTTCCTCTTGCGCAATCAATCCAAAGTTAACAATGGATCTTAAAGTTGTGCAAATATCTTGCGGTACGTGTAGGACTGTAGTGGGATTTTTGCTCCATTAGAGATCGCAAGAGAAGTCTCGGTGTAGAGCTCTTGTTTACTAAAAGTTATGCATCGCTACGCTAGCTGGAAGATCTTAAAAAGAAATTCCCGATCATTCAATCCATAGATGAGGGTATTCCTACCCTGAGAATCTAACCAGCATCTATGGGTGATGAGATCATTCGATAGTTGGTAATCAAAGCACGACGACGTGAATGTAGAGCTGAGTTTTGTCTACCGTAGCAGAGGAATAAATGTAACAAGGATACAAAAATTCGTACATCCATTTATTTCCTCTAGCGAGGCATTGATATTAGCCCCAGGAGAATTTAAATGAAGTAAAAGATTGACTACGGGAAGAACAAGAACAGTGTGCTGTGAACAACAACTTGGAATGCCATGTCTCTGCCCTGTCACCGCCCACGTACTTGATGCGGGGACCCTGGTCGTATTGGTTAAAATTATGCATATGCAGGTGGACAGATATGCAGAGCTCAAATCAAGAGCTTTGATATCCCGGGACACGAGTGTTCAGCTGTAAAATGGTGGTGAAGGGTACCTCGATAATCTTTTGGCGGAGGTACAGCCAACAAGACCCCACTTCGCCCGTACACACTCTTTGGGAATGACCCATGTGAGCAGGAGCTGCGCAGACTTGCTATTTCCGGCCGATAGTAACCGAGTGGAGATTTGAAGGGTTTGTTTTGATGCCAACAACCTAGAATCATTCTCTGCATCACAAATTCTCTCATTCGGCCTTGTGTTTTCCACCCGTGAAAACTCTTCCAAGACAACCAAAATGGCTCAATCAGTGCTCTCCCGCCGGGCCCAAGAGGTTGTCGATGCAGGATCCGACAACCCCATGTGGGACGTGATGAAAGACCTGTGGGATCCATCCACAAACCCCAATGGTTATATCAACGTGGGCGTCGCAGAGAACACCCTGATGCACGCCGAGCTCTTAAAATACATCAACAAGAAACTCGAGCTACCAGCAAAGTATCTCACATACAACGACGGTGGATGCGGCTCTTTCAGGTTGAAGGCTGCCATCGCTGCCTTCTTGAACCACAACCTGAAGCCAGTCACGCCCCTTGAGTCGAGCCATATCATGGCGACTAACGGTGTTTCGTCTGCGGTCGAGCATGTCGTATGGACCTTCGCTGATCCCGGCGAGGGAATTTTGTTAGGGAGACCTTACTACGGCATGTTTATCCCTGATATCTCGCTGCGTTCGCGGAGCCCCGTGGTTCCTGTCAGTTTCGGAGAACACGATCCTCTCGGCATCGACGGTGTGGATAAGTACGAAGAAGCTTTGCTGGAGTTCCACCGAACCACCGGAAAGAAAGTCAAGGCTTTGATGCTTGCTCATCCTCATAATCCGCTCGGACGATGCTATCCCAGAGAAGTGCTCATCAAGTTGATGCGGCTCTGTCAGAAATACCAGATCCATTTCATCAGTGATGAAATTTATGCCCTGTCAGTCTTTGACAATACCGTCGATGAATCTCCATCAGCGGTCAAGTTCGAATCCGCCCTCTCCATCGATCTGACTGGAATTATCGACCCTCGTTTGGTCCATGTCCTTTGGGGTATGAGTAAAGACTTTGGCGCTAACGGTATCCGACTCGGTGTCATCATCTCTCAAGCCAACCGTGATGTGCATGCGGCGTTGGCGGGCCCAGCGCTTTATTCGTATGCTTCTGGGATCACAGATCACTTGACTTCTCTCCTGCTCGAAGATTTCGACTTCACCACCCGGTACATTGAACAAAATCAGAAGCTGCTGTCCGAATCCTATGCATACACGGCGAACTACCTGAAAGCTCACGGAATTGAGTATGCAACAGGATGCAATGCTGCATTCTTTGTCTGGATGAACCTGGGAAAGAAGTACCGCGAGCTTCACCCGGAGGATGGGAGCCAGGATGTCGGGGAACGAGTCATGCAACGCCTTTTGCAGAAAAAAGTCTTTTTGGCCAGCGGCTTTCTGTTCGGGTCTGAGAAGGATGGCTGGTTCCGAATTGTGTTTACTCAGGGCCATGAATGTCTGAACGTAGCTTTAGAAAGGATCAACGCGGCACTTTAGAATTAAAAGTAGTCTCGCTTTCACACCACAAATAAATCCTGCATTTGTCTGCATTGGGCTTGTTGGTTCGCGGAGATCAAGCCGAGGCCTTTTTTTCAGCTACCATCTCCATAATCTCTGTATAACCTCGTTCAGTTGCCGCATCGAGCACAGTTCCTGTGCGTGAGCGTGTATGCGTGCTATTAAACCCCCCCCTTTTAAGGTGACGTCAGCCCCGTGATCGAGTAGCAATGCGACAGTTTTCAGATGACCTTGCCAGGCAGCTGTCCGAAGCGCTGTGCTCTGCCACTCACTCTAGAAATTGACACCAACTCCGTTCTTGAGTAGTGATTTGACAACGCGTTGGTGACCATTGAATGACGCTGCCTGGATTTCTGAGCCATCTCTTCCGCCTCCGATGTTAGGGTCGGCTTCATTCGCTAGGAGAATTGTGACGATAATCTCCCAGCCTTGGACAGATGCTGTATGTAGTGCCGTGCCGTACCTTCGGTGATTGTAGTAGATATCGGCACTTTTGCTTAGGAGATCGATAATAGTTTCTTCAAAGTTGTGGTAGGATGCTTCATGGAGCGCTGGGTTGTACATTCTGCCTTTAATATTGACATCAGCGCCATTATCTAGAAAGATTTTGACGACTTCCCGATGGCCTTGGCAACAAGCTACACGTACCCTGTCAAATTTGGGGACATCATTGGAAATTAAGGTGTTACCAATTTGAGACAAGCAATTTACAATACATTTTTACGGTCGTTTCTGGTAAGAGAGGCCATCAAACGAAAAGATGATAGATATAATAGAGCAATTGATCTACGGGACGCCAAGCTTTTCCACCCGTGGATCATCCAACGCTAACTGAACGCGACAAAAGTCAAAGAATTTTAAAACAAAACGTCATCTTTTTTTTTCATCACTACAATGGCAAGTTACTGCATCGCAATTACGAAGCTTCAATACTCTCCAACGACCGGAGCGGGATGCATCCGGGAGACGCAACCACTACCATTTCGCCGTGAAGGCTCTTCCCGGAGTCCCAGGCGAAGCTGTATTCTTTGCGAATCCATACAACAACAACCATGACTGCGAGGGCCGGTCCCGAATTTCCCCTCTCTCGCCAGACGACCAGGCCAAAATCATTGTACCTTTGCTACTGAAGGCATTCGTCAACCGATTAGACGAGCCGGGCGTGATTCCCCAGATGGGCAGCAACATGGAACCGTTTGCGCCGTTTACTTGGAGTACCTCCGACGAGAGCCTTGCGCAAGCTGTGTCCCGTAGGTGCCAGGCAATTAGCATCAGACGTGAGCTGTGTGACGTTGCTGTCACTACCGCTGAAGAGCTTCGCAGTGCCGAGGCGTGCTGGACGAAGTGGAGCAGGGCCTTGGTGGAAGCTATGGCTATGTTTGATCTCCCGGATAGTGGTTTCGAGAATGATGAGATGAACTGAGAGAATGGTGGTTTTACTCCGTCGATAGATAAGCCCCTGCCTGCATCCTTGCTCTAGGTGCTTGCTAGTCTCAGATTGCTCGAGGGAGTGTCAAACTGCGAACGCTAACGCTCATGGTCGAAGATATGCGGCTGACATTGGTTGATTTTGGAGATACTTCGATCATTTCTTTCAACTGGTCTCTTGGCGTTTGTTTTTGCAATGCTGTACTCTAATTTCCTACGAAGGATAGGTGTCCCAGCACATGACGAAAGTAGGAATTTTCACCCATGTACTATAGAATTCCCGGAAGAGGCAAAAATGCAACAAGGCAATAAAGACTGAGCAGGTCTGCAGTCCGGTCCCATGTAGTCTCCAAATTTCGACCTTCACACCACTGGTGCCTTCCTCCTATGATCTTTACCGACTTCCTCTTGCATGTTGAGAACCAGAGAGCCGAGCACTGCAGTATATCATTTGTCTTTGGTTAGAACTAGGAGAATAACCGCAAACAACCCTAACTAATTATGGTCAGCTATGCAGGCCACCATGACCCAGCGCTCCCCTAATTTACCCATGTCTTACATAGAATTCAGAAAAAGTTTCACAGGAAGAATAGTGACGTTGGTGATATAATTAGCTTCAATGGTTCCGCGTTACAGGGTTAACTCGCTGGAATCGTACAAGTACGTCAGTAAAGATTGGTAGTGACGCTCTAACTCGCATTCGCGCTCTATGTCATTGGTAGAATGGCTGCGTTTGCGAGATATCATGAGTCCCCTTCTTCACTCTTTTGTTTATCGAAAGAAAACCATTGATCGTTCACTTTTATGTAGAAAGAGAATTGGAGTAGAAGAAGCGACGATCCAGCCAAAGTTGTTTGACTTTGGTAGTGATGACGGCATATATTAACTAGTGACACTTCCCCTACTTCATCTTGGCATTCAAATCTTCGGCACATTTGAAAGACTCAGTACTCTTCAACACCGAGCCATGTATGTATCTGATATGTGAATCAGAGTTGGCACTGCGATGCCTGAGGATCGGCAGGAACTAGGGTTGACTCCGCACGTGACTGTCTCTGCTAACGTAGACCAAAGCATAATGTCAAAACCTCAAATACGGCCTCCCTAGGCCATAAACAGGAACCTTGGTTTTTGTTATGGTCTAGTGGAAAGTACGCTGTATTTCGTTCAACACATAACCAAAGATTTTTGGAGCTATTGCAATGGATTTTCCCACAGGGAACAAGTTTAGTAACAACGTGAATATTTTTAATTCGTTCATCATATGAATATCATTATCACATCTCAAACAAGTCCCGTAGTGGGCCCGAGAACTAACTCAACTCCCTGTGCAGGAGGACATAAATGCAAAGAGTACTTTTTCTACCGTCTCTTGGGGAAACACAAGCCGCTTGAAAAACAGAGAAAAGGGAGAGAGGTATCACAATAGAAACGCCGAGGGGTATGCAGTGGGAAAAATCAAAAGGAAAGATCAGACCACAGGCGTCAACTGGGTTTGCAAAGCCTGTGAGAGAGCCTCCTGTTGACGCTTGGCCTCCATCTCCATCAAGTATTGAGCATATTTGGACCGAGGGTTGTGGATACCACATTCAGTCTTTTGCTGTCCCTTCCAGCGACCTGAGCGCTCGTCCTCTCCCTCGGCAACGGGCTGGGTGGAGTGCCAATCACCAATACTCTTGTAACCACGATCAAGGAGCTCATTGTAAGGCACTTCGTTCTCCTTGACGTAGCGCTTCACCTGGTCAAAGGACCAGTTGGCCATGGGGTTAATCTTAATGAGGCCAGCCTCGTCGACTTCGATGATGTCGAGGTCACCACGTTTGCCACCTTGGCTGCGGCGGCGGCCAGTGAGAACGGCATGGACATTCATCTCACGGTAGGCACGCTGAGCGGGCTCAACCTTGGCCACCCAGTCATAGAGTTGGTCGTCGGCCTCCCAAAGCTTGGTGCCGTACTTGGCTTCGAATTCGGCAGTGGTTTCGACGCCAGCGGGCTTATAGATGTGCACATTGTTGTTAGGGTACTTACGACGCACACGGTCGACCAGGGACATTGTCTCATCGAAGTGATAGAGAGTATCAAGGAAGATGAGATCAACCATCTGGGGACGAGGCACCTCTAGCTTGGATAGCATGTCCAAGGTAACTAGACCTGTGAGACCAAAGGCAGTGGTTTGGAAAAGATGAGGAAGCGAAGTAATGCACCATCTCAAGATCTCTGGAAGGAGGAGTCAGATAAAAGGATTTCGGGGAGAGGGTAAGACATCAGTACGAACCTTGAGGCTCAAGGAATTGCAACTGGCGGTTGAGGAACTGAAGATGGGGCTTGGTAAAAACAATCTCGGGGACGTAGTCCTCGCTAGATCCAGAGCCAGCACTGACATAGCCCGACTCAGTCATGGAGTCATGGTTGTCAATACCCTCCCTTTCTGAATAGTTCTTGGCCGGCATAATGTGAGGTAATTTAGATAGCAAAAAGGTGATATAGGCAGAGAAGATGAAGAACTGAATGTATGAAGAGATTGAAGAGTTGGAGTTTGAAGGACAAAGTCCCAGAGGACAATCGGAGTGAGGATATAAGAATAGCAGGGGCAATCACATCATCCGGAGATCCGTCCCTAGCAATACTCTTCATCCGATATTCTTCATTTCAAAGAGGCAATGATGCAATTGGTCAGTTGCCAGAGTGGGGAACATAATCCTCCTAAGCACGCCATCGACTACGATTGCGTGCTCAAATCATCTCATCTCACCGCCTTCCTAAAGTGAAGAGATTGTCCTCATCGGGAGGCGTTGTAGGGTAAGACCAGCAGAAAACCAAAATCGATTTTGCCCTTTCTTGGAAGAATGGCGTAGAATTGTCATTCCTGAGGGTCATAATCATGGCTTATTCATACCAACCTTGGAAGGTCAGCCCCCCGGATTTAGTAATTGTCGCTGACCAATCCAGTCAATGATAAAAAGACTCCGATCATTGGGAGCATTTCTCCAGGTTAGGATCTTCATAAATTCTGTATTTAGCAGGTTCCTTTCACAATCACCACAAAACCCGAGCATACCTGATAGGGGAATCTTGGTCGTTATACTAGGTATTTCGTACACAGATTTAAGATTAGGTCCATGAACATGCTGATCCGATCTGACTCTGATTGACTCTAAAGTCATGGTGGACCCGGATGAGGTGATCCCGAAAATTGAGGAGCCTCTCTGTCAATTCTGCCAGGCGGTATCACACGTGAGAGGGGTGCCATCGTCACGTGTGTCGTTGGTGGGGACCGAGTCCCACGTGCCGATCGGCGCATGTCGTTTTTGATCTTCGGAAGTGTGGGATCTCTTCAACTTCAACTCGCAATTAACTCTTTACCAGACCCATTCACTAGCACTGAATCATGGCAGATTCTACCCGTACCACAAGGCCATCCCTCGGCCAAATGCGCAGCAGTTCATTCCTGCAGGACCACCAGCAGTACAAGCCGATGGCTCCAATCAACCCCATCAGTCACACCATCGGCGAGGTTCTGGCTCACCAGGTGAATGATCACCTGGTACTTAGCTCAAATCCAATCAAGCCAGACCCGGAGAGGGTTACCGATAGCGGCATCATTCACAGCATCTTCAACCACCACGTAAATCCTCTTCCGACCGGCACGGCGCAAATCGTCGCGACAATCTACTACAAATCTAACAACCCCGTTCACCCCCACTACCACCCCGACTCAGGGCCTCAGAATTCTCCAGGCGACAAGCTCCCAACTCCCAAGGTGCCCAAAGGCTCTGCCCCGACAGAAGACATGGATAAGTTCCCGCGGGAGCCGCCTGCCCCAGAGCCGGAGCCACTGGATCACCTATACGGGCCATACGTCTCCCAGCTATGCTTGACCAACTTCCTCCAGATCTTGGAAACCCTTCCCACGCCCTATCAGCGCATGAACACCTCGCACCGCTGTCTTGACCGCGACGAACACCCCCGCGTCGTGGAGGTCACATTCTCCCCCCCGCCAAGCCCGGAATATCTCTCGTTCCCGGATCTGCGCAAGCATGAGAGCATCTGGCGCTTTGAGCGAGAGTGGAACGTTGAGGTTGTCCTGCAAAAGGAGAGCGTCTTCCGTCGGCACAAGCGCCTGGCTGTGTTTGATATGGATAGCACCTTAATTGATAATGAGTGCATTGACGAAATCGCCAAGTTTATCGGTGTTGAGAAGGAGGTTTCGGTAAGTTTTTTTTGACAAGGCTGCGAGCCTCTGTACCAATGTCTAACATTATCACAGGCAATCACTGAACGCGCCATGAACGGTGAACTCGACTTTACCGCGTCGCTGAAGGAACGAGTCGGTCTTCTCAACGGCGTCTCCTCGGATGTCTTCGAGAAGCTCAAGTCCGTCCTGAAAATCGCCAAGGGCGCCCGTGAGCTTTGCCGCGCATTGAAGACTCTGGGCTACAAGATCGCGGTTGTGAGCGGCGGGTTCCAGCCCCTCGCCGAGTGGCTCGCCGAGCAACTCGGTATCGAAATTGCCATTGCCAACCACGTAAGCCTCTTCTGTTTCATCTCACTGTTTTACTAATCGGATCTAACCTATCATACAGCTCGAAATCGACGAAGCCACCCAGACCTTGACCGGAAAATTGGTGCCATCCTACCCTATTGTCGACGCCGCGCATAAGCGCACTCTTCTCAAGTCTATCGCTGCAGAACACAACATCCCCCTCTCACAAACACTGGCCGTCGGCGATGGCGCCAATGATCTCCTGATGCTCCATGCTGCAGGCCTCGGCGTCGCCTGGCGCGCTAAGTCCAAGGTCCAGCTGGAAGCTCCCGTCCGCATCAACGGTGAGAGCCTTGTCGATATCCTCTACCTTCTTGGTATGGACAACGAGGATATCGCGGAGCTGACCTCCGATGTGCAACATGTCCTTGAGTAGCCAAACGGGCGATACGACAATTTTAGTAGAGCATACACTTGTGTGCTGGCGAATCTCTTAACTTTTTGGACAAATTGCACCCCTCAAAAAGTTGAGCCTGATGCGGCGCCCATAGCTGGTTGCAGGGCTCGACATGGAGGTTTCCGATTTAAAGAGTTGTGGGGTTCGTGTTGGTCCTTACCTCTAGCAGAGTCTGTGGCTTGGATGAATAGGACGTAGTACGGAGTATGAAATCATTGTTTAGCGTGTGGATATTGTCCTTGCTCAAACGTGTGGCGGGTTTCTTTCGCCATGAAGGCGGGATGTAGTGGACTGAGCAGGCTCACACCATGATCTAAGACATGTTGGGATGTGATATGAGAAAAGCAGCACTGAGTAAATGTCGAGTGCAGCTTGATATTCAGAACAGACGAGAATAGGTCACGAATGACTGCAATGGTGATACAAAGCACACAATTGCTGTGTGGAAATGTGGAACTGTTGAAACGACAAAACAAGCGAAAATCCCCCTTATTAAACCCCCAAAACCGACAGCCCGTAAAGATGCAAGAATGATAACGCCAAGAGGTTAAATGACATGTACATGTAGTCAGAAGACAAGAAAACAGGGTTATTTAGGTAGTTGAATCGGATCTTTATTCAAATGCAACACCTTACCGGGTAGCTTCATCAGTGGTAGCAGCGCTCTGATCGACAGTGCGCTCAGCGGTGGCGGTGGCAGAGCCAGCACGGCGCTTTTTGAGAACATTCTCAATGAACGCCTCACCAGCCTTGTAACTGCTTCGTACCAAGGGGCCGGAGGCACAGTACAAGAATCCCATCTCAAGGGCACGCTGACGCCACAGCTCGAAGCGGTCAGGCGTCACGTACTCATGAACAGCCATGTGACGCTTCGTAGGACGCATGTATTGACCAAAGGTCACAACATCGACGTTGACAGCACGGAGCTGGCGCAGGGCATCCCAGAGCTGATCCTCCGTCTCACCGAGGCCAAGCATAAGCGAAGTCTTCGTGACGAGATCCGGAACAGCTTTCTTCGCAGCATCAAGCACACGAATAGACTGCTGGAACGTAGCGCGGCGGTCACGAACAAAGGGCGTAAGTTCCTCGACGGTCTCAACGTTGTGCGCATAGACGTCCAGCCCAGACCGCGCAACCATTGCCGCCATCTCGGTGTCACCGCGGAAGTCACCGGTCAAACACTCAACCAGCATACTTGGCTTTTTCTGCTTGATTTTGATGACCGTCTCGGCGAAATGACGTGCGCCGCCATCCACCAGATCATCACGGTCGACGCTCGTCAGCACCACGTACCCCAAGCTCCAGCGGGAGATGGCCTCGGCGGTGTTCTCGGGTTCATGCGGGTCAAGCGGGGGAGGAGTGCGGGATGTCTTGACGCTGCAAAAGCGGCATCCACGCGTGCATGTGTCGCCCATCAGCATGATTGTCGCTGTGGCGGAGGACTTGTCGCTGCCGCCCCAACAGTCGGAGATATTGGGGCATCGAGCCTCCTCACAGACGGTGTGCAGGTTTAGTCCTCTCAAGTCTTTCTTTAGACGCTGGAAGTTCTTGGAGTCTGGGATGGGGGTTCTCAGCCATTCGGGCAAACGAGTCATTTCCCTCTTGCGGCCGGCGGGGCCGACAAGCGCGGTCTTGAGGGCATAGGCTTCCGATGGGTCGAGAGGTTCATCTTGACCTCCTGAGACAAAGTCCGAGAATGAGGGTCCCGCGTTCAGCTTATCCTGGAACTTTGTTGCTTTCCGTCGTGTAGTTCCCGGTGTGTTGGTGGCGGATGCAGAGTCTGTTGTAGCATAGCTTCGGCGGGCGATGGGAGCAGCTACTGCCGAGGCAGGGCATATGGTAGCTCTGAAAGACAACAGGCGTCGTAGAGTTCTTGGTGGAGCGGCCATGATGTATGAGTGAGTACTTGATATATGAAATCGGAAAAGTTGGAGTTTGCCTGAGCAATGGATCCCGCGGGAAAGTATGACTAATCAATTTCGCCGCATAAAGCTGAGCGGGAAAGTATGTCGCAGTTGCACAAGCAAAGCCCTGTGATGTTCAAGGCAAGGATACGGGATGTTTTGTTTCGAATTTTCCAGTTCTCGGTGTCTTGAGCTATAAGAAAAAGGGAAAATTCTAGATGGAAAGGTCTCGTTGACATCTTTTCGACATATGAAAAGGAACTTGGGAGACTGGTGAATTTTGCGATTATGATCATGGTTGCTACTCGATTGAAACACTAAGTATACAAATTATCCCTAGCAAAAAGAGAGGATGCTACACATTTTTCCCAAAACCGCGCAATGCAAGGGTATGGAAATAAAGCGAAAGAGAGAGAAAAATGCATAAGACAGAGAGGAAGGAAGTGGAAGTATGGAAAGAGATTATAGAAAACAAATAGGAGAAAGAGAGCTCAAGAATTGGAGCGAGCAAGTGTGGGTAGACAGTTATGAAAGGAGGTAACAAGGAGAGGCGATTTGAAGAAGAATATGGTAAGGAGTGCAGGAAATGATTTCAAGAACAGGAGGTTGAAAAAAAAGGAGAGACTTCAGTCAGGTGTAGCGAGAGTATGGGGCGGACGGACGCTAGGAGATGTCAAATGTGTGGTGTGATCAGTGCTATACAGTTGTTTCAAGCACTTGGGCGAGAACTTCGACGGCCGATTTCAAAGTCGGGTCTGATTGACCACAAATGGCGAATAGGAGATTATCTACGATTTGGTCGAGGTGTACCTGGAGTTCCATGCTGCGAGACCTGAAAATGGAATCTTTGGGATTGCTGGCAGATCCGGATGGAAGCTGGATACCCAGTGTGGTGTAGGCTTTTTTGGGGACACCGTCGATGGGGTGTGGTTCTTTGCGCGGAGACGTGGGCTGCTTAGTTCGATGAGTGTTTGATACAGAGAGGAGATAGTTTCGAGCGAGGAGTGCAGAACAGAGACAGTCGAGGAGGTTCTCCTTCACGTCGGGGAATATAGTACGGAAAGGCTTAATGAGAGCCTTCTCGTCACTTTTGCGAAGGAATACCATGACAGGGGAAGCTAGGCGGAGCATATGCCGAGGAAAATCCTTGACCGAGTGGTCAAGCTCATCCAAGGTCCACTCATGATCGTCTAGCGTCCAGTCATGATGCCATACCCGTGTTTTTTCAACATCCTTTTCGGAGGCGATAGACGCAGGCCGTAGCGAGGGAGTTGTTGGTAGGGATGACTCCCTTGGGCTCACGCTACCAGATCGAATCTCAGGTTGTGGACATGGCTCGCGCTCTCCCTGCGCAGCTTCGGGCTTTTCGCAGATCACAGTTGATCCTACACTGTCCGAGGAGGTCAATGACCCTGGATCGGTATATGCATCGTTATCATCGTCATCGACTTTGCTGTCGTCACGACTATCAAAGGAATAGCCAGAGTCACGAATTCGGTAACCATTGTCAGACATGTCTAGTGGAGTGTCCGGACTAAATGCAGATACTTCTTCTTGGCGTTGATCTGGAGTAGTTGGCACGGTGTTTGGCAGCAAGCATAGCGGTGGAATTGGGGGAATTGACGGTGAGGATTGTCGAGCGATTTCGACCAGCTTCGGTTTTGTCTTGCTAGCAACGACGAATCTCTATTACGGAGTCAGCTTTGAATAGTACATCACAGTCACAAAGTAGGAAACTTGCCACAGGTTCTTCGAGGGCTTTCCCTCCCGGGATGATATCCAGTTGTGGCATTGGGGGATCATTCTCCACGATCTGGAACTTGCGCCGATTGGTGAACTCCTTTGTAGATGGCGTTTGGTCATTTATCTTGTCAACTGGCACACCTTGCAGCCATCTTTCACAATATGAGAAGTTGCTGGGCACCCAGCTAGATTCGCTCGTAACAGTCCCAGTCCGAGGGCGTTGGGGTCTGGGTGAGATCCCTGAAGCGAGGCCTTTCTCGATTTCCAATGGCTTGGGTGAAGCTTGTGGTGGTGCAAATCTTTTTGGAGATTGGGGTTGTGGCTGCTGGGTATTGCCAGACTTGCACTGGCGTACAAACTGTGAGTGAGCTTCGTGAACATTGATCACGTCGGTTCGTGCTTGATTTTTCCAATCTGGGGGACGATACGCTGTGTACTGTATCCTTTCCCCGAATTCTAGCGTTGTAATTGTTGTAGAAATATCGGGTTGTTTGGTCCTGTATTCGCTCTTCTCGTCATTTCCCTCGGTTGATCGACATGACCCATCTGAGGACTGAGAATCAAAATAAGATATCTCAGGACCCGTACTTGCGGGACGCGATTCTGATAATGGCGGGCTGGGCAAAAGACCGAATGCTTCTAAGCTGCCACAACCAAGGTGTTGGTGTGAGCGCCATGTTCGTAAAGTGTGATCGCCTGTGGCCTTCAAAGGCTGGCTCTGCTTTTCAGGAAAGTTGGGGGGAGGGCCATCGACAGACACAGGAGAGGTCGGAAGCCTCAGTTGAAACGGCTCTTTCATTTTTCGAACCGAGCGGAAAGGTGACACGCAAGCTGGCCCCCGGTCTACTGGACGCCGTGATATGGAGCTCGAAGCGTCATGCGACTCTATGTGCTGCATCACTGGTGGCGGTACGAATGATAGCGATGTCATCTGTCTGCTTCGCCTCCGGGGTACGTAGGTGGGAGACCACCGGCGAGGTGATGGGATGGGCTCAGCCATTGTCATCGGACCGTCGCTCGTCGAGGACGTGTTTGATCCCTGGTTTTTAATATGCGTTTGGATACGGGCCGGAAAGCATGCATGGCCAGGCATCTTTCTCGCACTAGGGTCCATCTTTGACAATGGTATTCGTGGCTAAAAGAACAAAAGAGCTTTGGTTTGAAAGCTCGAGTGAAAAAAGCAAAATGTATTGCACAAGCGTAACCCAGATGAGATTGCAATTCAGCTTGTTTATTGTTGAGGTCAAAACAAATGAGCATATGTCCCTGCAGGGGCTCGATATGTCCTTATACAGCGAGTGTGGCACTAGTCCGCTAATTCAAGGTGGGTATTGTCGTCAGGCTCAAGTGATATCCCTTGACAGGACTACAACCCTGCAATGAAAGCCGGAAAATGTTCAACTGGACCATTCCCCCTTCGAGCGTGAAAGAGGGTCTGTCGCCTGGCACGAACACTTGTATTCAGGTTGTCCTAAGCACGGTCCTGGTAATAAAAGTGAGAATGAGGTCGCGTCGTCCTTGCATCCGAAAAAAATGAGAAGATAGGACTACGATGTTCAACGATTGGCTCCAGATCTCAATTTTTTTATCCTGCGGGCGCCCGTCAACGTGGAGAGGCCCATCCGTTGCCTCAACTCATCATAGCCAGGTCCCGACTGGGCACTTGGAATGAGACATTTGGGATGCAAGAGGGGGGAGAAGGGAGCCATGACGAATCAGGCACTTTTGCAGGGCACCAGGATCAGCCAGAGGGTGCATTTAAGCGGGTCTTCATTGGATCTTGTGTCTCATCGCAACAGCAATCCACCCCTTCTGGGCCATCCCTTGCATGTATCTGGTTCAAACCGGTATTGTTGTATGTATCAGCAAAATTTATGGAGGTTTGGATATAAATCCCTGACGACGTTTAGATTGATTGCCCTGGACAACCATTTCGATTCGAAATAGACTGAGAAATCAGCACTCATTTTGGTTAAAACTGGCACAATATGATCCCTCATACCTGTTCACCTCGGTTGACCCAAAAATGCCGCTGACTAAGAATGATAGATCGAACTCCCGGTTGGTCTAATATGAAACACGGCCCAATTAGTTAAAATATGCATTTGAAACAATCGGTCTATCCACTGATCAAGAAGGATCGGGGAGATTTTTGAAGGTTGCATTAGCTAGAAAGCCAAATTAATTCAGATGGATCACATGCGGCCCGTGGATGTCAGGATGGCGAGTGTAGTCCAAACAATGCAAACATTTCGTTATCAATCGATGGAGAAAAAAAAAGCTCGAAAGAAATGGACAACTTGAAACCAACCTCCCATATTTTGTGTGACAGCCCTCATTCTCCCATTCCTGATGCTTTCCGAATCTTTCGTGGCATCGACGCTGTCATCTGCCAAATCTCCGACTGCCTCACTCAGAGATGTAGGCGTCTGCGTTCACGAATTGCAGCCTTCGTCGATACTGCGATCGACTTTCAAGAAGAGCTCAACTTTAACCAATTGTCTGGCCGTCAGCCCCTCGCATGTATTCACAGCCCAGGCAGATAAAGCTGTCATTCATGTATACAACCGAGAGAAGGGTAACCAAGAGGGTGTTGTTCCTTTTCCAGAGCGGATACGCAGCATTGCTGTCGCGGGGGGCAAGTATGGCGATGTCTTAGTTTTGGGCACTGAGGGTGGTCGATTGATTGTTTGGGAAGTAAGTTGGATCAAATTAACACGTTTCCCCATGTCATGCGTCTAACATATTTTTCAAGACATGCACAGGACGCCAAGTAGCCACAACCGCATCCCACCTGCAGCCAGTGACCTCACTCGTCGTCGACCCCACGTCCAACTTCATTTTGTCTGGCTCCGCTGATGCCAGTGTACATGTCTGGTCCTTGCCTGGAATTCTTTCGTTCTCGAAACCCGCTCTCAGCGCGACACGCCAACCCACGAACTCACCTATCCGAACTTTCTCCAATCACCGTGCAGCTATCACCTCGCTTGCCGTAGGACATAGCAATGGCCGCCACAATATCGTGGTATCAACCGCAAAGGACAACACTGCGATCGCGTGGGACTATCATACCGGCCGTGCTCTGAGAACCTTCCTCCTTCCCTTGTCCGCAACATCTGTGGCTCTAGACCCGGTCGACCGGGCTTTCTACGTGGGGTATGAGGATGGCAGCGTGCAATCAGTAGACTTCTACCGGAGCCAATCTGCGCAGCATCCCCTTCACGACCCTTCAGTACAATCAACACCCGCGCAGGTGTCCATGGAGGACCGGTGGCTCCCTCCCTCGGCTGAGACAGGCTCAGTAAAGACAATCTCCCCCACATATGATGGCACCACGTTACTCTCGGGCCACGCGAATGGCAAAGTACTGTCCTGGAATGTCGCACGACGGAAGTATATAGCATCAATTGCCGACTACACGCACCCGATCACGAACCTGGTCATGCTACCTCCGGGTGGCATCCCTCACCCTTCCTCGGATTTGAAGAGAAAGGCTCACACCATCGTCAAACCGCGCCATGATAGTGGCCTTTCGGCCCCGAACCATGCCCCTGGCGCCATCCCCGCAGAATATATGTTCCACACTCAGATCACCGCACCACCTGACTCCCGCAAACCAACTCTATTCTCTCAGGCCCTTACTCACTCCTCTTTTCCCTCTTCCATGATCGAAGATGGTCTTGCAGAGCTCGCAGCATTCCGCCAGTCCGGTAATACGGAAGTTACCCGTGTTGCCTCAAGCACCGGCATCGCTAGGGAAACCGCGGAAGACGCAGCTGCCCGCGATTCCCAGGTCACCGAGCTCGAAAACGAGGTGTCTATGCTCAAGAAAAAGGTTGCGGTGAATGAGACTGCTCGTCACAATGCGGACGATGAGGTTGTACAGCTGCGCTCGGAGCTCGCCAATCTGCAGGACTATATCAATGAGTTGCATGAGAAGCAGGAGGCCGCACAGCAGGAGAAGGTCCTGCGGCAAGCAAGGAAGCAGGAGCACGAGACAAAGAAACGGGAAGCTTGGCTTGCTGCAGAGAAGAAGGGTCGCAATGGCGATGCAGTTGTTCAAAAGATGGACATTGATGCTGCTATGACTAGTGACTCAGATGATCAGAGCGACGAATAAACCAAAAGCTTTGGATTTTTAGTTGGCATGTCAATGGATCGGCGCAGGGGTTTGGATCAACATAACTATATATCTTAGGAGTTTTCAGGTCAATATTAAAAATGTCCGCCACGTTCCTGACAGTGGACATGAGTGCAATTCAATTTCTTTGTCGTTTTTCTCTTATTTTCTCGACACCGTTCTCATCTATGTATTTGAATAGATGGGCTATCATCCCTAACTGTGTTCTGTTCATTGGATATCTAGCTTTCAGTTAGCTTGAAAGTGTTCAATTTCCGAGCCACCCGGTTACAATAGTTTTTTTTCAATTCCAGAAACAGGGTGCTCGTATCTACAAAATGTCATTTGGAGGGGATGATCCCATTTCCTGGTGGGTCAGGATGTTCACAAGGCAACCCCAAAGGGGCAGCGATAATGTAGAGCTCTCACGGCAAGATGCGCAAGGATGGGTACAATTGTCTCAGAGAAATTCTGCAGGCTTCTCTGCTCGTTCACCAATTGCATATCTATATGGCAGTTGGGACTTAGCAAGGTCTCAATCCTTGTATGTCATCCAGATTCTTATCCTGCTGCTCGCGCAGATCCCCTCCCGTCGGATTTATACGCAGGGGGTTGATATCTATGCAACTAACAAATACAGAGACCATGGGTCTCAAGTTAAAAAAACGGTAAGGATCCAATCGATGCCTTTATGTTTGTAGCAGCATAGAGCACTGCCAAAGAGTAAAAAAGGAACCTGCTGTTTCTCCATTACCACTAACTGTGAAAGCCCCACCTCTCACTTCTAACAACACACCTCCACCGGACAAGAGACACGACATATTCCAGGGAATCTCCGAAAAGCTCAAGCCACCGCATGACCACATCCCTGTTCAAGAACCTCTCCCTCATCAATCTCTTTCATAATATCAACCCCAGAACTAGTTCCAATGCGGTGCGCTCCAGCCTTAAGCATCCGCAACAAACTCTCGGCAGTGCGTATACCACCACTAGCCTTGATGAAGGATGTGCACCCACACATACTCGCCGCCAGTCGCATCTGCCTAACCTGCTCAACACTCGCACCACCATTCCAGCCCGTGCTAGTCTTGATATAGTTCGCGCCAGCCATGCACGACACGATCGTCGCATCAATGAGTTGGTCATTGTCAAGCGTAGACGCCTCCACAATGGCCTTGAGTGCGATTGGCGGCGGTGCTGCATTGCGTACGGCATGAATATCCTCGTATACCTCTGTGTACCGGCCCTCTTTCAACAGGTTGTACCGGATCACCATGTCGAGTTCGGTGGCGCCTTGCGCGACGGCTTCTTTCGCCTCGCGCACTTTCTCGGCTGTGGCATGCGTGCCCTCAGGAAACCCGACCACGCATGCGAGTGCCGTGTCGGTGCCTTTGACGTGGCTTGCTGCACGGACGACGTTCTCGGGTCGCACACATACGGCGGCGAAGTTGTATTCCAGGGCTTCTTTGCATAGTGTGTCGACCTGGGTGGGTCGACTGGGGTCGTTAGGAGGGTGTGGTCTATTGTCCGGTGGATTTGTGTTGGGATTGGCAGCTGGGACATTGAGTGTCTGGGCAGCTGCTTCCTCACGTTGGACATCTTTTCCACCCATTCGGCGTCCGTTGATGGGATTTCACTCATAATGGGCGGTTTGTATAGTGTGCCTTGGGTTAAGTAGCATGCCGTCAGAGTGGTTTTAGGGATTACTCCCGGAAATGTGTTCAGGGCTTCTGCAACACTTGGCATAGAGGGGAAGAGGGGATGTCACGTGGCGCTTCTGGAGTCATCATGATGACCCGTGATTCATATTGACAGGATGTGACCTTGAAGAGGCGGTGCTGTGGCGCTAGGGACTAGTGTGTTTGTCTCGGTTTGGCACTTTCGGTAAATACTGACGATGTATTAAGTTCATGGATGAGCATTAACCTGTAGTATATGTAAATTTCGAAGGTTATTTCAGCAAAGGACAAGATTCCGTTGAATATCAAGTGCTTTGCAAGATACATCGCACATGACAAGCTTTCCAGCCAAAAAGACAACAAACCAGGGGATACTGCGATATCTTGGTCCATAAACGTCCTTTCTCTCCTCTGGGTTACATATGGGCAGCAGCAAATCACTCAGACTGTCTGCTTACTGACAGCTCTTACACTCCGGCCCACGAACGTCATCCACACGTCCCACGCGCCGCGGTCCGAATCCCGGACCACCGCCACCACCTCCTCCACTGTAGGGGGTTGTGCTGCCTCCCCAGCGAGAGCGAGTTGTATACTTATTGCCCTGGTTGTTGATATTGAAAGACGAGTTCTCGGCGGCGGCATAGGAGTCGAGCTGCGATTGGTCAGATTGATTCAGTTGTGGAATTTGAAAGAGTGTCAGGGTGAAACGAAAAGCGTATTGAAGATAAGTTGTCGCCTATAACAAAGTCTGTAAGAGGTACATACCGATAATAGGGTAGTGAAGTACAGGCCGAAGAAGAAGTAAACGCTTTCGATGAATCGGGTGAGCCGCACGGTGAGCGGGGGGCTGTGGGCGCGCTGGTCAGCGATTTAGGTCTACTTTCTGCATAGAAAGAAGATTTTTACCTCTGGACAGCCTGCCCGTTGGAGAAATAAACTGGCTTGGGGGGGTTGGAAGACATGGTTGTGATGGATGATGGTTGTCAGAATTGAAGATGTGAGTTGAGGTGGAGTGATCAACATGGCCGGGCCGGGGCCCACTTATTTATAGCTGCACCCTTTTCGTTTCCTCCGCAAAGCCCAAGGCTGTACCATCATTCATACCTAGACATACAATTTAACAATGATCTACATGTATTTTAAGATGCTTGTATTGTTGTCAATCAATGACATCTTCAGTGATCATGTATAGCTCATTTCAAGAGGTATCTGAATGCTGTCTATGTACATCGCGTTCCACAATTTGCAATCGTCACTCGGAAATATATTAAAGAAAATTGAATCACTGCTTCTCGTCCACCGACGCAGAGATCGCATCCACTTCGCTGCGGATCTCATCCAGTCTATGGAAGCCCTCTTCAATCACCCATCGCTGGCCTTGGGGATTGTGCAACACGTGGCAACTGGCACCAACCACTAACAACCCCGGTGGTCGCGATCCTGCCTCTTCAAAGGCCAGGCAGATGTTCTCCAAAGTCGAGCGAATGACACGCTGATCAGGACACGACGCTCGCTCAACAATTGCACAGGGCGTCTCCTTAGGCCAGAGTTTACGTGTTTGCGAACCTGTGTCTTCCGCAGGGAATGTAGTGAGGGAGTCCACAAGAGCAGAAAGTCGGTGAAGAGCCATGAGGAAAACAACAGTCTGAGTAGGGACATAGGTGGGAGGGTTTGGAGCAGCCCCCTTTCTGCCGGTTCCTGTGCACACAAGGACTTGGTCGGAGACGCCGCGATGAGTTGCTGGGATATCGGCGAAGAGGGACGCGCTCATGGCGCTGGTGATACCGGGCAACACAACCGGGGAATAGCCCTCTTTTCTAAAAAACTCGAACTCTTCCGCTCCACGTCCATAGAGATATGGGTCTCCCTGTTTCAAGCGAAGGACTTGCCGTCCCTGCTTCAAAGCTGCCAGACCCATCACGAGGAACTCTTCCTGCGCCTGGTCTGCGTTGCCTGGGAACTTGCGTGCGATGTGCACTTCCGTCCGGCGAGGGATCAAGTCTAGGACTGGAGCGGGTACGAGCTTGTCTGCGAGAATGATATCAGCATTGTGGATTGCCTGGTAAGTGGCGCGGGTGAGCAAGTCTGGGTGACCGGGGCCAGAGCCTGCGAGGACGATCTTCCCCTTCTTTGAGGAGGTTTCAAGGCCGTTTGTGCCATTTATGGTAGCACTGCCAGATGTGTAGGCCTTCAGGATGGCATTGATATCGGCATCGGTGATAGAAACAAGCTTTCGGAGAGGCCAGTATTCACAGATCTGAGATAGCCAACGCACCCTTCTTGTTTTCGCGGCGGCAGCATCGCTTCCTGTGACCAAGTTGTTGAAAGTGTGTTTTTGGCCTGTACTGTCGTCATCCTCTCTGTCGAATATGCCTTCTACTAGTCCAGCGGTATTGTCCTCTTCCCACAGCCGCCTCCGCACAGCACCAAGTCTGTCGATGGCTGTTCCAAGGTTTGGGGGTAGGAAAGCAGCAATCTCCCTCCGCAGTCGGGATGCAAGCTTGCACCCTCGACCGGAAGTGGTGATTCCAATGTGAAGGGGTCCGTCTGAGTAGGTGGAAAGCAGGGTGAAGGAGCATAGTTCGGGGGCATCTGATACGTTCACTGGGATTCTGAGGCGCCGACAGAGCTTTGATATGTGTGTGCCTAGTAGGAAATGTGAGTAAGAGTGGGCTAGGAACAGTATAAGCAGGTCATACTTGATGAGTTTTTGCTACCCAATGTAACAAAAACCAAGTCCACAATGTGATCAACTTCTTCTCTACCTAGACTTGTCAAATCCTTATCTTGAAACTCATGACGAATCCACTGGGCAGAGCCATTGGCAATGTGTTCAGATAAAGTGAAATGCATCTCATCGGTCTCCGGCGCAACGATGATCGGCGTTGCGCCGACCTCGAGACTCTTCGCACATCGAGCGGCGGCAAGAGGATTTGAACCGACAATCAAATGGACTTGTGATTCGGTATTCCACGCAGCCATCAATGGCGCGGGTGAGCTGGGATCGGATGAGGCGTCCTTCATGGTAAAGTATAGTAGAATGAAATGTCAAGCCCCGCCAACGACGCTATCAGCATAGAATATGCCGAGTTCGGAGCGGTAAAAGAGCTCAAATTGCGAGATACTCTGGAGCTCCAAGTTTTCAAAGGAATTGGAGCTCGTTTCCAACAAATAGAGCACCCAATGAAGTGACTTTCTAGACTTCCGCGGAGAAAGCGCGAATCTCAAGTCTGAGCAAAGGGCCTATCACGATTGGTGATAACGGGCGATAAGGATCTCGAAGTGGGGGATGGTCCTGGCACTATTGACAGGAAACCCTAAGATTCGGTTTGAGGATGGACGACTCAGACAAAGATCCTTGGGGTTATCCTTATACCATTGACTCATATAGAGCAAATATAGCAGACAAACAACTCTTCCCAGAATTTTCTATACATCTGGATCGCCCAAAACGGCTAAAGGCAATTGCGTGCTTGTTTCCACGTGACTTCAAATGCCGGGGAAGAAAGGCCGAAAGTAGCTTAGTGGGCTGTGCAAGTAAGGACGGGTGCGTGGTCTTTAACGTTCTGGTCTCGACGTCGGACTTGGAAATTTGACTTGGCTCAAAATAATGTTGGGGTCAGATCCAAGGGCAGCAGAACGATGTCTTTTCAGATGTCTTGCCTGCTTCATAGTAATAACTAGAAAGATGATAACTATTCACAACAAAAAGCACACCAATGGCGGAAAGCTCACATCCTGCCTATAGAAACAACTTTTCTATTAACAGCACCCATGGACGATAGCCTTTAACATTCTTACTCTTCCGTGCCAACGCTCCTTCTGCGACTCTTCAACGTTATTTCCTACGCTACGAATGAAGCTACATACGACTACGACACTTCACACTTCACAATTCCGTTCCACTCCCACCGGCAATTACCACATCATGCTCTACGGGTCCAACTTCTTCTTCTCGTCAGCCTGATTTGTTTGTGACCCCTGTCACTGGAGTTGAGCGCGATGAAGTGAATGAAGTGAATGAAGTTATGAATAGTCAGATCCATGGATGCTCCCATTCGAGTCTCTACGGCAATTTTTTCAGCTGCTGTTCGTGTCCATACTACGATTTAAAATCCTTTTTTTTTAAAAAAAAAAACTTGGTCAAGTCAACTGCTATCGTGGTTTCCCCGTCAAAATGGATTTCAACCCCAAGAGTTGCCCTTGAATGTGTCGTACGCTGTTGGCACAAAGGTGACCATGTGGTCTAGAAAATTTGAGATGAAGAAGGGCCATGGACTTGGTGGTAGATGGCCCTTTGAGTCACGGTGAGAGGACTTGGTCTGCTTTGCGTCAACAGTGTACAACACATTCAATGGCGAACAGCGGAACGAGAAGGCCCTCTCACATGTCAACGGGAAAACTTCGATCAACTGGCCTGGGTGCATGTTGGAGACGAAAATAGAGTCCCGGGCCCATTTCCAGCAACCAGTTGGGCAATTGATGGGAGCGACCCTAGAAGGACATTTTAGTCAGCAGGTGTTTCTCAGACATCAAGTCTACGAGGAACAAACTACCGGCACCCCGAGACATTCGACTCCAAAATTGGCATTTTCGCTATCAAAACACACACGCCGCCACCCGAAGAATCAGCGGGTGCATGAAGGGGGCTTGAAAGAGCTATTCTCACATGTGGTGGAGTGAAAATCAATGTCAATGGCTTCTGACTACAGCCGAAAAATGTACATCTCACAATTTCAACACGACGTTCGATCAGCATACATTGAATTTTCGACCTTTTGATTTCATGGCAAGGTATCGACGGTAGCCTTCGACTGGCAAAATAATGATTTTGATGTGCATGTGAAAGTGAAAGTCCATGGTTGGTCTGAATCTTCTCACACTTAGTCACGAGTCGATGCCCTTTCTTGAAAACGAGATGCTCAAACTCTTGTTTGTGGAAACATCGATATCGCAAATCCTGCTCTTGGTTTTACTATGTAATCCAATCGCTGTTCTGTTACTCATTCATTCAAGCATGTGCTTGTCTAGATGCATATCGGAATCTGCTCTTGACACTGATACCAACTAACTAGGTATAGCCCAGGTGAAAAGCACAGAGACGCCCGTCCTCGGGAAACACCACGATCTAGTGGTCCAAAATCCACGGATGTTCATGTCCGGCTACTTAAAATGTAGATTCACACAATTTCTACTCTGTAGGGTGCATAGCCCCGGAGGCTTCTGACATTTGATCATATAGTGTTGAACATTTGGCTAGGAGGC